ATTTTTTTTAGATGGCAGGGATCCTAGCCTCCGTCGAATATAGCTTCTGGCTAGTAAGAGTGTGGACACACCAAACAGATTTTCATGAAAGGAACAGTGAGTTCGCATCGCGGAAAAGCCAGGACATGGGATCACGTGTGTGGGTCTGGCGGCTTCGTCGGTTGCCTTGGATGCCGTCAGGAGCTTGTTATATCCAGTCATCTCCCGAGTTCCACTGTCTAGACTTTAAGTTGGCTAATAGCCGACACTGATGCCAGTGTTGGTCTTATACTCTATCAAAGGATACTATTATTTGGTTCATCTCTGTCCATGTCGGTCCAAAATATAAAGTGGACCAAAGAGGGGGCCATATAGGGTAAAAGCCAGTTTTCGGGAAATTTGCCATTTTCATCACGAAAAATGGAAAAAAAATCTGAAAAATATTTAAGGTACTCCGCTTGAGAATCGGATGAGAATTTTGGAAGATATGGCCATCCCCGTGGGCCCTATAGGGGAAAGCCCCATTTTCAAGGGATCCGATCACGAAAAATTGACAAAATATCTGAAAAATATTTCGTCTTAGGATTTTGATGTAGAATGATAGATAATCAATCTAGAAATCGTTTAAGGTACTCCGCTTGAGAATCGGATGAGAATTTTGGAAGATATGGCCATCCCCGTGGGCCCTATAGGGGAAAACCCCATTTCCAAGGGATCCCATCACGAAAAATGGACAAAAAATCTGAAAAATATTTTGTCTCAGGATTTTGATGTAGAATGATAGATAATCAATATAGAAATCGTTTAAGGTACTCCGCTTGAGAATCGGATGACAATTTTGGAAGATATGGCCATCCCCGTGGGCCCTATAGGGGAAAACCCCATTTCCAAGGGATCCCATCACGAAAAATGGACAAAAAATCTGAAAAATATTTTGTCTCAGGATTTTGATGTAGAATGATAGATAATCAATCTAGAAATCGTTTAACGTACTCCGCTTGAGAATCGGATGACAATTGCGGAAGATATGGCCATCCCCGTGGGCCCTATAGGGGAAAACCCCATTTCCAAGGGATCCCATCACGAAAAATTGACAAAATATCTGAAAAATATTTCGTCTTAGGATTTTGATGTAGAATGATAGATAATCAATCTAGAAATCGTTTAAGGTACTCCGATTCAGAATCGGATGAGAATTTTGGAAGATATGGCCATCCCCGTGGGCCCTATAGGGGAAAACCCCATTTCCAAGGGATCCCATCACGAAAAATGGACAAAAAATCTGAAAAATATTTTGTCTCAGGATTTTGATGTAGAATGATAGATAATCAATCTAGAAATCGTTTAACGTACTCCGCTTGAGAATCGGATGACAATTGCGGAAGATATGGCCATCCCCGTGGGCCCTATAGGGGAAAACCCCATTTCCAAGGGATCCCATCACGAAAAATTGACAAAATATCTGAAAAATATTTCGTCTTAGGATTTTGATGTAGAATGATAGATAATCAATCTAGAAATCGTTTAAGGTACTCCGCTTCAGAATCGGATGAGAATTTTGGAAGATATGGCCATCCCCGTGGGCCCTATAGGGGAAAACCCCATTTCCAAGGGATCCCATCACGAAAAATGGACGAAAAATCTGAAAAATATTTTGTCTTAGGATTTTTATGTAGAATGATAGATAATCAATATAGAAATCGTTTAAGGTACTCCGCTTGAGAATCGGATGACAATTGCGGAAGATATGGACGAAAATGGACGAAAAATCTGAAAAATATTTTGTCTTAGGATTTTTATGTAGAATGATAGATAATCAATATAGAAATCGTTTAAGGTACTCCGCTTGAGAATCGGATGACAATTGCGGAAGATATGGCCATCCCCGTGGGCCCTATAGGGGAAAGCCCCATTTTCAAGGGATCCCATCACAAAAAATTGACAAAATATCTCAAAAAAATATTTCGTCTTAGGATTTTGATGTAGAATGATAGATAATCAATCTAGAAATAGTTTAAGGTACTCCGCTTGAGAATCGGATGAGAATTTTAGAAGATATGGCCATCCCCGTGGGCTCTATAGGGAAAAACCCCATTTCCAAGGGATCCCATCACGAAAAATGGACGAAAAATCTGAAAAATATTTTGTCTTAGGATTTTTATGTGGAATGATAGATAATCAATATAGAAATCGTTTAAGGTACTCCGCTTGAGAATCGGATGACAATTGCGGAAGGTATGGACGAAAATGGACGAAAAATCTGAAAAATATTTTGTCTTAGGATTTTGATGTAGAATGATAGATAATCAATATAGAAATCGTTTAAGGTACTCCGCTTGAGAATCGGATGAGAATTTTGGAAGATTTGGCCATCCCCGTGGGCCATTTTTACCAATTGTGGGACTCTTGTAAAATCCCTGAATTTCATATGTCCCTCTTTGGATGACTCTAAATTTGCCGCAAGGGTATCCAAGTTTCGTGCCAGTCCGAAGATGGTCTTCGGATTTTTTTTTTATTCCAGTTTTTATTTTCGACCGAAAGCCAGAAATTTGTAAGCCGAATTTGTGCTCTTGTATTACTTATTTGGTCCATTATTTGTGCGGAGCTTGGCTTTCGCTTTTATTTGACTTTTGCCTTTTGTGCGATGCTTTTTATGGTCAAAAGCGAACCCCGCACTTGATAATGAAATATAAACGTGGCTTCTGTGTGTATGTTGCCGGATGAGTGGGTGAAAATCCGTGGGCACAAAGCTTATAACACACAGGACATGCAGGACACAGGACAACAACGGAAGCAACAGGACAAGACTCCATTCTGGCACTCTGGCCTCGAAGACTGTGCTGCCAGAGAGAAATCATAAATTAATCCGATTTAAGCAGCTCAGTAGCTTATTTTTATGCCCCGGGTTTCGAGTTTTTGTTATTTAATGAGAGCGGGGATTTATTCCCGTCTCGTCCCGCCCCAGTCCATGTGTTGCATCTTGATGGGACCAACGTTTAAAGGACACCAATTTGTTTGGCAGTGGCTCGAGAGCCAAGGAGCTGACATGATTGGATGCTGGCGATGACTGGATGATGATTTGTTGTCAAGGTAGAAGAGTCCTTGAGTGGCAAATGCTCAGTTGAGCAGAGTGGCGGAGTTCAGTTGAGTTCGTTGGGTTCAGTTCCGCTGCACAGGAGAGCAGGGCTTGTGTCCTGGCAACCAAGGAGCTCAGTTTGGGTGCACAGGAGGAAAATGAAAGGCAAATAATTTATATGACAAGATTTCGGTTGACTACCATAGAAACGTCTTAATAAATTGACGTTTACTTTATTAATAATCTTAGGATTATTAATATATAAACTTTTCTCTCCCTGCACCTCATTATAAAATAAGTTTTTACGAAGCCTCCTGCGGAGGAGGATGTGTTTTAGGAGCGCCATTCGAAATTCAATTGGGCTTGAAGTGTTCGAAAGGCAAAAGGCAGCCAGCGATGTCGCACAGGCTGCAAGTATCTTGGATGAACTCCGGCGTGGATGTATATGCATTCCATCCAGATTTATGAGCGGAAAAATGCGGGGACTTGACTAGATAACCGAGAGCGATTTGGATTTGTTTTCCGTTGTGTAATCCGCAAATATTTCCATTTCAAATTGCGTTATGTATGCTCTGTGAGAGTCGCATAATTTTCAAACAAATTTGTTCGGCCATTGTAGCTGCGCTTTTGGCCAAGAAGTACTTCGGCTTCGATTCGATCTGTTCCACAGTAATCCGCACTCTGTTGTTTTTCGTTCTTATTTAATTTCGTGTTTTAAATAGCCCGCTGCAGTTCAGAAAAGAGACATTGACACAAATCCACAGCTGTTTAAATAGAAATTGCGCATTTAGCACTGACCACGCCCCCTCCAAGCCAAAAACAAACAGAAAACCAGCTCACAGAGAATTTGTGGTGTTGTTTCTGAACGAACCAAAATATTTACAGATTGTTTTTCAGGGCAAAAGCAACAGCAGCAATTACCCACCTCGAATCAATAATTGGGAATTATTGCGGGCTTGTTCTAGCGTCCCATATCAACAAGAGTACCCCCAATAATAGCCAGTTGCCTTTACGAGAACAATAGAACTACTCTTGACTTTGACTTCTGATTAGAGCTCTGGTATGCCAGCTCTTATCGCCACACTTTGAGTCATAAAGTCGCTGAGGTCTTGGCTCGATCAGGCTCTCTGCAGGCATGATTCATGATTCAGAGTATTTTTTCGCACAGAGTCTGATTAACTATATGTATATATATTAACTGATATTAGCTCATGCTTAAATTTATCTGTTTTGTTTGTGGCGATACTAGATTAGATAGAAAGTGTGTATCTCTCATCTGTGGAGACTCGGCATGTACCATAGACCTGGTAAATGGAAAATGCAGCCATTAAATGCCAATTAATAAGTCAGAGCAATAGTTTAAAATTCCCATTGCACGTCGATATTAAACCTCACAGGCATATACATATGTATTCCTTCGATATATTCGCGCCACAGGCACTCATAAAGTTGTCAAAATGATTTAGCAAAATTTGTTGTTGCGTGTCGCCGCAAATGTAAAATGTTTCGAGATCTGTTATGAATGTTTAACAAATTTTAGTTGGGTTTTCCGTCCGTTCATGTCTTTCTGTCTATTTGCGGGTTACATATATCCATGCGTACATATGTCTGCCGCTTGAATTTGGCCAGAGAATATTTGTTGAAAATTGGGAAAAATTCTGCTTTTATTTGTTTTGGGTAACGTGCGCAAAAATCGCACGAAACGACCACAAAAAGTGAAACTTATATCCACAGATTTATTTTTATCAAACAAACAAAAGCGTCCGAGCACTTTAACACATAAATAAATTAACTGACAACTAATATTCGCTTTTTGGCCGTTTTTTTTGTCCAAAGTCTTCCACGCCAGTACTCGAATTTAATTTTGCTTTTTGAACAAACAAGTTCCATTTGTCAATAGCGGATGGTATTTTTTGGAAAAGGGTCTATTGGCTGGGACACTTACCTTTTGCACTAGCAGGGGCTGGGCAAAGTCCACGCCTCCTTGCAGACGGAAGCCCCAGGGCTGGGCATCGAAACGTGACAATTTGATTTGCAGCAGCTGTGGTTGGGCCATTTCTTCTAGCGCGGACTGTAAGAAATCAGAGCAGAGCAGAGAGAGAGGGCGGTGCGTTAGTAACAATGAGAATAACACGGCGTATACTTGATATCACGTACGCGGCTAATTAATGAAATCAAAACCCGGACGACACCCAGACGACGAACAGAGGGCCAGAAAAACATCAGACAGAGAAGAAACATACGTGGCGAGATTGCTCTTTTCGGCCACTAATAAAGACATTATTCAGGCATGTCCAGGCTAATCCTGCAGCAGGACCAAACACATCCCCCAAAGACACCCCCAACGCAGCCAGTTGCCAGTTGCCAGCTGCAGCTGCATGCAGAAAAGCTGCTGCGTCGTTTTGTGTGCCAAACTGAGCCAACATATTCGGCTGACTGACTGCACCAGGCAGCCACGCAGGAGGTCCCTTCCAAAGCTCGACTAGGGGATACCTTATCAATACCTACCTCACAGTAGTCACAACACCCGGTTTCAAAGTCAAGTGACACAATCACCTCAACTGCAGTCGAGCAGAGCTATCGTCAGGCTTTGCTATTTTAGAATGTGAGTAATAGGTGTGTCATGGAGAAATCTGAAGGTAAAGTAGGGTAAGTCAGGGACAAGGTATTTTAATTAAGAAAATGTATGGAAATAGCAATCAATGCTTCCTAACTGGAACACCCATTGCGTCACTGCTTTCCAGGGTGCTGGACATAAAACGAGTTAAACTTTGTTAGATATAGCCTTTTTTGCACACACAGATCCCCGCACTCACTCCCCGGAAGCGGATCCTGGCTGCAGGAGTAGGACTGCGAAGGCCCCCACCCTGAAGCCCGGCCGCAGTGAGTGCTGTAAGTAAGCGCACCCCGAACGGCACATGGAGCCGTGTTGTAAGTGTGGCTTACACGGGTTCCCGTCTTTCCTTTAGTCCCCCCATTCCCACTATCCGTCCCTGGGTCCTGCCGTAGTTTTTTCCGGGTATGGCTTTGTAATTTGTACGTGCGTGGGAGGGGAGGGTGGAGAGATGGAAAGGATAGTGCAGAGTGGGCGGTGGGCTCGGTTGTCTGTTGATTTAGTTTGCTGCATAACAATTTTGCTGAGTGTTGTGTTTTTTATTAGCAAAGACACATTTGCTTCGTGTTCTGCCCCCTCGGCTCGGCCCGGACAGCCTGCTCCCCGCCAGTAAGTGTAAGAGTGCTGGATGGAAGACACTCAAAGTGGAAGTAACTACATTAAGCTATTAAAACGACAGCAGCTGTGGAGTTGGGAAAATTCAGGGAGCTGGGGAGCCCCACTCACTTGCACACCCATATGGAAAAGAGACATTTTAGCACACACAGCAGTTTAATTAACGTTAAGTGCGGGTGGTAATGGCTCCATCTCGAGTCCAGGTTGCAGGATTCAGGTTTCGGGCTCGATTCTCCCGCTTCCTGCCACACCACACCAGGCCAGGCCGTAACACGTTGGCGGCATTTGCATGTAAATACTTTGTACGCCATGAAGTTGGCCCATTAGACGCCCGGCCAACCGACGACGACTGCACATGCACGGGAATAATTTAATTAAAATATTAAATAAATGCCGAGCTGAGGCTTGCTCGGGAACAAGTGTTGGAGGATGTGTTGGTGGCGAACTCCACGGATTCAAAGTGCCAGACTGAAAGACTGAAAGGGCGAAAAGCGCAACAACACGGAAGCGCAACCACGAACGCGTGGTCCTCCCCCGAGGAGGAGGAGTGCTTAGAGCCTGAAGGAGCAGTTTAGAGCTGTGGCTAATTACTGGATTTAACGCTACTGCATCCTGAAGAGCAACTGCCCTATTGATAGCCCAAATATTCAAGTATCTATGGTAAACCATAATCCCTTTGTCCACAAAATAAATGGGGTACTTTGTTGGACTAAAGTCCAATAGGACTACGCTCCTTTTGCTCCAGAGAGAAGCCTTTTTAATACTTATCCTGCCTGCGGCCTGACCCACTTTTCTTCAGACTTGAAACCCGCCTTGGGCGAGCTGCGGCACAAACTTTCCATATGCAAGCAATTTGTAAACAAATTATTTGATCCTCAAACAGCAAGTTGCTCCAGCAACTTATCAACTTGACGCCGCAGAGGCCAACACTGCAACGACAACAAATCCAAACTTGGCCAACCATGTATCATTAACAAAGTTGTCCAGTTGGCAGTCCCCCGTGCAGCTTTATGACTAATAACCAAATGCCACTAAGCCAGTGGCCTGAGGGAGGGCAGAGGAAGGCCGACACGTAGCTGTGTAGTCCGTTTCCGGGAACAGTCGGTCATCGGTAATGGAGCCGTGCCCCAAACTGCTACACGGGAGGGCAGTGTCGAAAAACGAGTTATCGCTAATAACTTTTACACACAATTGGCAAATTACAATTTATTTATGTGACTCTGCCGCTACACTGACCTCTCCCGCTCGGCCACATAACCCTCCCGGCCAGCTCCTGCCGACCAGTTTCGGATTTGATTCACAGCGAGGGCAACAAATCAATTTGCATGCGGTAATTCGGAAGATTTATTGGCAGCGTTTTGTGGGGCACGGATTTGAGGGCGTGGCCGCTACAAAATGCAAAAACTGAAAACCGTTGAAATTGAATAAGGTTCTTGGGGGAATAATTGGTAAGCCGATTGGCTGCCGCTGCAAATACTACTCCATTATGGAAATTGCAGGGCAGCTCATGAGTTCCTATTAGCAGGGGAATCAAATTGATTTTGGACGCACACATGGTCATTAGCAGTCGGCACAGCGGAGAGAGTGTGGAAAACAAAAGATGGTAAAAAACATAATAGAGGCTGACTTGAAACTGAAACCCAAACCGAAGCTAGAAACATCAAAAGTCTCAGTCGATGATGATGGTGGCTGCCACGGATGATGTCATGGTGGTTAGAAGAGCGAGGGAGCCAGCCGGTGGCTTTTGGGGTCGACAATTCGATTTGGCCATTTCGCACGCTGTTTGGTAGCACTCTCCAGCCTATACTACCAATTGTAATAGTACCACCCCCTAGTACCATCGGAACACTGCCTGCGGCTGTGGTGTTTATTCTGGAATATCTGTTTATCGAATGGAACAGCTTCACTTCGTAATGAGCCAACTAATTACGTGCTGCCGTCTCTCCAAAACTCTAAACAAATCGGGTATTAGACAAACAGTGTGCTCGGGAACATTGGAATTGCATCGCCAGCCGGCCATTTCAACACACTAATAAACTGCACAAGGGAACAGCTCATTAAAAGCCACTCGAGTGGGGCGGCTACAGCAGCTCCTCCGTTTCCATTTTACTATTCTACCATTTGGCTGCCTGGCTGTGGCCGGGCTCCTCCTAGATGAGGGCCTCCTTCGCTGCCGCTGTCAAGTGGCCAGGCCCCAAGAAGTTGGGCCGAAACTACTTCAGAGATGCGGTTGAAGCTCTGGCTTCTGCTGGCTCTTTGGGCCAAACAAAAGTGAAGCCAAACCCGAAGCATCTAGGAGCTGGAGCGACGACATATTCACCCACTAACTGCCAGAAGTCGGGAATCAGGAGTGGAGGAGCTCGGAGCATCAGTGGCAGACGGCTGTCGGGTGTCGGGGAGTAACAAGCCATGCAAATGCCGCACGGCAGCAGGCGGCAACAACGTCCATATGTGTGGCAAAGTGCTTTGCAGTCCTCCGGGAACCAGCCAAGTAGTGAACGCGTTGATTTCGCATTTATGCAAATTTCACGTACACTTCAAACTGCTCAACCTTTTTTTTTTTGCGTTTATTTTTTCGGCTTCGCTCTTCAGTTCAGTTTCTTCTTTTGGACCGTTTTTTTTCGACGCGCTTTTGTTGGCCTGGCCGAAACTAAACTTTGGCTGAGAAGTGGCTGGGGGAGTGGGGCCTTGGGAGCGTAGAAATTCTGCCTGGGGGCGAGTGATTTCCGAATACCGTTGAATGTGAGAATGTGAGAACGGATTGGGATTAACGTGTTGGAGCATCTTGCGAAGGCCTGGGGCTTAGCTCGCCACCGAGCCGAGATACGAGGGCATTACAGGGTATGTGGAGGTGGCATCATTCTCCGCTCCTCGGCTGCCTGATGCGATGTGACGTGACGTCATGTGTGCGCTCGTGCTTGCGGCTAACAGGACACAGGTCCCCTCCCACACTTGCTCCCCTTTAGGGCCGCCTGTTGACGACGCTGTTGCTCTTCAGCCTTCAGTTTTCAGTTTTCAGTCTGTCTAATGCAATGCGCGTGCTAAATGGGCGTAACTCGACGGCCCGGCGACTCGGCTTTTTCCTCCTCCCCCCCTATTTTTTTTGCCGGGCGGCGCCACCAAGCGCTAAGAGTTGGGAGCTGGGAGCTGAGAGCTGGGAGCTGAAAGCTGAAAACTGAAAAAGTTTCTCGCTCACACCGGCACACGTCTGCAACTGTCAGTGCATCAAAACACTTGAGTATTTGAAAAAGCGGAAAAATAATAAAGTGAAAAAATACCGATGGGGTGGGGTGGAAAATGGGGAAAACTGTGCCGGGGAAAAAACAACAGCGGAAAAGTTTTCTTTTTGTGCTGCGTGTGTGCTGTGTGATATTTTTAATATTTTTGCACTAGACGCAGAAACTAAGGGGGTGGTGGCAGGTGGCAGGGGCTGGTGGGGCGCACAGAAAAGCTGACAAAAGTGACACTTTGCATGCATTCTTGCAGTTTCTTTTGTGATTGTTTTCATGGGGAGAGCGAGAGCAGTGCAAGTGACATTGAATGTGTCACTTTTTCGCTAGCCATGGAAGCACTCACAGATACCAAGGTACAGATACAGATACTGATACAAAGATACAAGCAAGAACAGCAGGTGGGCGCGCAGAGGCGGAGGCGTGCCACAAGTTCATTGCCACATTGTAGTCCCTCCATAATTCCGCCTACAAAACAAGCACATAGGGTGTGGAATTTTTTTCTCCCAATCGGTAGAGTTCAAATATTTGCCTGTAATTGCATAAATTTTCACAAATAAAATATGTAAATTCTGCAGCTGCACGATATACATATGTACTTGTTTATGTATCTGTTGCAAGTACATACATTCCCCGGGGGGGAGCGGGCAGTTTATGCGGCAATTTGATTGCTCTGTATACGAGAGCTATAATTGTGCTAGGACTGTGCGAAATTTGATTAATATTCGCGCATATTTCTATGAGAAACTCGACGCGAATGCAAATTTTAATCAGAGATAGTTTGCCGGGCGCTGAATGCAATTGAATGCGATTGCGATGCGTTCGATCGGAGGCATTTCGAGCAAAAATCAACAAAGGAAACCGTGCTCGCTGGCGTGTGGCAGAGCAAATATTTATTGAGCTGCGTCAAAAATAGAGGCAACATTTAAAGCCTGATTCGGGCTTGAAGCTTTTTTTACCCGGTTAGTCTCGATAGTGGCAAGTTAAAGGCCATATTGCCACAAATCCCACCACTATTCAGCCGGGCGAAATGTAATTAAATCTAATAGAAAACAATCAGAAAACCAAATCCCATAAATTAAACTTTCGGGAAAACTGGCAAAAAAGGCAACGCAAAATAATGCAATTTTAAATCTGTCACTGGAATAGTTAATGCCACATTAGATGCTCTGAGCTAATAAAGCGTAATTATCAGCGCATTTATTTAATTAGCCGCACAAAGTGCGTGCAACAAAGCCTCAATCAGTGCCCCATTCCCTGATTCCCGGCCCAGTTTAGAACGAATTGTGTGGCATGCCATGTACTATAATGACAGTTTAATAGGCTTGTCCATCTGTACTGCCGCGTGTGCGGTAATTTAATTTAATCTCTTTCCAAAAATCACGGCGCTAGTACGATGCCATACGCTAGTCCTAAAAAGCCTTTGAGATACAGCTTTGGAGATGGCCAGCGAGGAAGATACGGGCTTTAATCCATTGACCAAACTCATTATGCAGTCAACGAGATTATCGGGGGAATGCATTTGCCATTTGATTTAACAATAATGAACAAAATGCAATTAATTGAAAACTATTCTCCCCCCGGTTTTTTGTTTCTTTGTAATTACCTTTTGTGCATAATTGGTGGGCTTTAATGGTTTAACAAAATGCGATTAACCGAATGCAATTGCAAAATGCAAAAATGCAAATGCTCCCCTGCCCGCCAGCCAGCCTAACTGGCTTTAATGACAGGCAGCAGACGGAACCAGGTCGGGACATGGCTATAATTTTCCATCAAAAATCGAAATCGCACGAAAATGTTTTGGCACTCCAGCAGGCTCAGGCAAAGGCCCAGACTTTGGCCCAGGAGCAGGAGCACTTGTTGCTCCCAGGCCCATAACTGCCTGTCCTTAGCCCGGCTGTGACAGTTTACAAAGTGCTGCAATTAAGGCTGACAAAGTGCCCGGCTCCCGACTCCTGGGCGCCCCGGCGAACGAGGGAACATTGTGAGAACATTGGGAACACTCGAATGAATTTGTTAAAACATTTTCCCGGCAAGTATCTGTTGGATATGAATTAATCAAAAGCTAAATTAAATGCTGAGCATTTGCATTGCTACTGCTGGCTGCTGCTGGCTTGGCTTCTTCAGCAAACAATTTGTCTTAACGGGCGGAGACAAGTGTCACATTCGAATTCTTGGCGTTGGCGCATCTTAAAAATACATATTTTCCCGAGGAGAACTATTTCGGTGACGGACGCACACGGCTGTTTCTTCTATGTCATCTTTCCTGCCCCTGCTCCCCAGCTCCCACTCGTCCCACTCGGCCCACTCGGGGTGTTAATGGTAATTGGAGCTGCATCCCCGCCGGAAGGTTGGCCCAGTGCACAGGGGTTAAGGCGAGGTGGCTCGTCCTCACTTTCGCTTTCGCAAACGAAAGGCGACAATCACATATTTTTGATATTTGTGACTTTGGCATTGACGTCTGCACAGGGGCTGTCGATCGAAATAGACTTGGCCCGAAATACCAATTCAAATATTAAATAAAATATCGCGCAGGGCCGTGGGCGCCTCAGAGGCCATTCAAACTATATGGTTTTGATCTATTTTTCTGTAAAAAAAAAAAATCTTGCGGGTTGCGAAGCGGAATTTCTTTTAGATTCTCCCAATCGCCCAATCGTCCATTAAGGCACTGGCAATTAATTCTCGATTCTCCTCCGGCCAACATATCCCCCTCAAAAGAGGTGCACGTAGATGCTGTTTGCTCTTCTGATTTATGAGCGCTTGCCGTTCGATATTTTATAATTTGTTTCAACGGTTAACGTGCATGGCCAAAAAATAAATATTTTCCGTTCGTTAAATTCATAAACAAAGCCCAGCTCAGGAGTGGGGTCTGGGATGATGCGGGTTTCCCCATCGCAGTGGCAGGGCCGATTCAATCGCAATATCTCGATGGGTTTTGTGGCTTTTGCCGAGGCGATGAAACCAAAAATTGTTTGCCAGTCACGTTTGTGGTGCAGAAAGAGCAATGGCGCAGCCTCTGGGGGGAAGGGGACTAGCGGGTCCAAAGGGGCCTGCACTTCTTCGTGGAAGTGGAAGATTTGCGTCTGTGGGCGTTTATTTTGAACGCATTGCGGTTATGTAATTGCGAGGCGTCAGATACGTGATTACTTTTAGGCAAATTGCCGTTCGAATACGCGCATTGTGTAACTCTCCTCATTCACTTGCGATTTCTTGGGGTCTCTGCGAAAGTGTGCCGGTGGAGTGCTGGCCAGGGAAAGTGATACAATCGAGAGTAGGTTGTGAAAAATGTTAAGGTCAGGGCTGTGAAATGTCTATATGGTGGTTTAGATTCAGCTTTGAGGGAGCATGGGGGCTGGCAATAAACCATCCGTGAATACAAGATCCTCCACAATGAGGTCATCTCTCAGAAATGGCATTCAGACCCACTCATTCCGCTCTTTTCCTTCCGATTATGATCCATGACGTTGTCTTTCGGTTCTTGTTTGTCGGGTGGCTCGTTTGCCTCGAATGACATGTTTAAGAAAAATTCTTAAAACAAAAAAATATCAAGAAATGTGCTCGACTCAGCAGTGGGGAAGTGCAATCTACCATGTCAGTTCACGAAGGTTGCATTCCTGAGAAATGATTGGCGAGAGAGCTGCCACTGCGAGAGCTCTAATTAAAATATACGCCAAGCTGTTTGCAGTTTTCAGAGCCCTGGCACCCCGGATGGAACGAATCCCTCCGTCAAATAGAGTCAGCCGGTGAAATATTGTCACGCACGCCCAGGAGGATGGAAGCAAAGTGCCATTCTAATGAGCTTTGCAACATTTCCTCGACGGCCTTAATTTACGATTCCCGGCCGGGAAAGAAACTGCAACTATTTCTGCACTTGCCCCATTAATCTGTTTGTCGCCCAAAAGACATCCTCTGACGGTCAGATCTTATTATTTCCTATTTCTTTTTTTATTCACAACGATTCTCTAGCGTGGTGATTAATCCCGCCCTGGTAGTCCGAGTGTAAACAAAGACCTTTCATTCATGAGCCGGCTGACCATTAGCTCATTCAAGTTTGTAGAACTCGGGTAGGGTCGGGTCTTATCGGACATTGATTCATGGGTGCATGATTGATTCGACTGCTATAATTAAAGGGGTGACCATCAGTCAGAAGTCAACTATCGGAAAACTGGAGGCCTGAAGGGGTTAACGAACTGGGCCGTGGGGAATCAACAAGTCTTGATCGAGCGACAGAATTACATCACAGACTCCTGATGGCGCGAATGGAGATGCTAGTGAAGAGCAGCCCCATGGACACCCGATGTCAGAGAGAGTCGGCACTCCTCTGGCCCCAAAATAGATCAAGCGAAAAGGAAAAACCAAAGAGCAGCAGTGCGAAAATCGCGGCAGACACTCGCTTTTCCGAGACGACCTAGAGAGCTAGCTTCATTAATATTGTATGCTTTATCGCTGTATCTGCGAGATATGTATCTCGGGCATGTTTCAAAATGTCTCAGAAACTGTGGCGCCAATCGGCAAAAATCAGGAGGCGGCACAGGAGGTGGCAGCAGCAACATCCGCAGCCGTACTTTCGCAATTTGTGTATCTGGCAGATACTGTATCTGGCTGGCGCTGACTGACTGACTGAGCGAGAATATTCGGAAACAAATCCAATCCGCGCGCAGCCATTTCGAAGCGCTAAAAATAATCTCACCTTGAAAAGTTTCTACATTTTTTTCGCTTTTTGACTATATAAAAATTTTTATTCAATTTCAACGAGCCAGAGATCTACGACGTATCTCCTCGGGGCCCCGAGTATCTGTTTCTTGGCCGAGCCACAAAAATGATATATGTATATTCGTCTCCAATAAATGTCCAAAGAAATGATCACTCGCCAAGAAAAATTATTATTTTGCAATTGAATATAAACGGGCACGGATTTTTGTTTCGTAAGGGTTTCCGCTGGCCGATAACCTTCACATTCACACAGAACACTATATAAGCAGGGGCACCGGGCAGAGGTAGGGGCGGCACCAGGTCTGATTCATCGGCCAAAGGATCGGCGCAGATTGCAAGCAGGCTATTGTATAACCAGCTGATATATACTACGGAATGATACACACTTTGATGATTTGTTGGAAGACGAGGACTTGATAAGCGCCTGATTCCGATCGGGTGGCTGGCTTGGATTCGGTGTTTTAGTTTCGATATAGTACAAGATTGGATGTGGATTGGGTTTAGATCGGTTTCGTATACTCAAGGCGATCGTGGGGCACTGCCAGAGTTCAGTTCTTGGGGCGACGTTACTAAGCGACGATTTTCTCTCAACTAAAGCAAAAACCGAAACCGAAAAATTTTATGTGCATTTTGTGCCGATTTTCGAATACAAAAATCTTTTCAACCACATCGCCAGCGTCGCTGTCGACTTTAACGTTGACGTTCGCGTCGCAGTCGCTGCTTTTGGGCCGTGCGAGAGGAGGCTATACGCCGTATAGCATACGGCCATATAGACATTGTTGGTTCTCGATTCCGAACCGATTCCGAACCGCTGCAAAGATACAAGATACAAACGCACAAAAGCTACAAACGCCAGACGTCGGCCACCACGACGGCTGCCAATGTCTGTCTGGCTCTTTCTGCTGTTGTTGTTGTTGTACTTTTGCTCGGGATATATATACATATATATATTTTGTTATTTGGCTAATTGTTTGTATTTGTTTTCGTTAGCAAGCTTTTACGGCACAGAGCCAGCTGAATGTCGACGAAATGTGAATGCAAAACGGTGCGTTTCGTGGCTATAATTAAGCTTAATGCGATTACAAGATGAAAGGTTGACAAGAATGTATCTTGAAATTGATTTTCCCCAAACAGAGTGTTATTTAGCCAAATAGCTAGCCAAACTGAAGCTCTGAAAGGCTTTACGAAATGGTAAACAGGTGCTCCCATCCGTGATCTTGTTTTTCAAATAAACGAGACTGCACCCCGGGATGTCTGGGGAATCCGGGTCACTTTTGGCTGTTGCATGTTCGAGTGGTGACTTCATGGAGGAGATTATCTACAAACTGCCGTGTTTCATTAAATATTGCCCCACAATCGATTAATCATTGGTTCGGGGTCGTCCCCAACCCCCATTCTTGAGAGCCAGAGCGAAGGCCGCCACAAAATTCCTTGGCTAATAAAACCCCACTGAATTCAATTTTTAAATGCCTGAAACATTAATATTTTAAATGTTGGCTGGTGGCTGGTGGAATACATTTTTTTGGCCAGCCTGCGAAGCATCCAAACGAAACCAACTGAATCCAAGCAAACAGTCCACAAAAAATAATGTTCGAAAATATAGCAACCAGTGCGGATAAATATGTATAATATGGCAAAATATTTGGATGTTTTATGCGTGTCCACATCACTTCCACCACATCACTGTCCACATCAGGCTGGCAAACAAGTAAACAAACAATAAACCCTATTCCATCCTCGGCTTTTTAATTAAATCATGTTCGTTGATAAAAATAATATTAAAGAATTCAGCGTACAACTCAATCACATCGTTAAAAACTACACGGCATTAAAATTGAATGTCAAGCGATTCAGATCTCAAGTCAGTAATTAAATTTTGGTTGGTTTTGGGGGGTTCTGGTAGCACCCAGTAAGTATCTTGCAGATAAAACACTTTTACTCTTAATTACGCATATTAGTCTTCGATCGATTTTTTGGGATGCTGAGTCAACGGTCAAGCTTGGCACAGATCAGATGAATCACAAGGGCCTCGGCTGCGAAACCGGCTCCGATTTTGGCAGGAGGAAAAGTGCCAGAAACTGGTCAAGACCAAGACACACTTACACTTCACTCGCACTTGTTGGATTTGCTCTGCGAAAATGAGAATCGGCTTGTTGGGGAGTGGTATCTTTCGGGTTTCTTTCTCGAGCACTGAATTCTTTGGCTTTCCGTGTACACTTTTTTTTTCAGTTTAAGTTTTTTCTTTTTTTTGGTTTTTCGGGGCAGACACAAGACGTTGGGCGAGACAACCGCGCGCGATCGTTGCGTTCGAGTGAATGAGAGGGGCTCGGATCTCGGGTGTTTGGAGTCGCTGCTGGCTGGCGAGCGAACGTATCTCACAGATACTCCGAGGCATTCGCACCGCTCTCTCTCTCTCTCGCTGGGCAATAATCAACAGGTAAGCGTCTGGCGGAAAGGTGTGCAAAGGTGTCTCTCTCTCTCTCTCTCCCGGTATCTGTATCTGCAAGTGTGCATATGTGCCGCTCGTGTGCCGCACTTGCTGATAAGATAAGCACACAGAGCGAGTAACAACCACAACATCTCGAGTAAGCGAAAGCAAACATAAACAAATGCTGATGCCAGGCCGCGTCATGACTTTCTTGCAGCGGTGAGGTAATTGGACATTGAATCAATCAATAGCTGGACTGGCTGGCTGGCTGGCTGGCTAATTCGCAGCAAATTGCCTTACCTTGATTTGGCTCGCTGGGATATATTCTATATTTAGGTTGCATGCCACATTGGGCTGAAACTGGTTCCTCCAGTTTCCTGATAATCTGGGTGACGGCTGCACAGCCCAAAACAACACCAGCAAACACGTTATATTCGCGGATCTTGCCTGATTTTACCCTTTTAGCGTCGCTTCGGCCACTAGCCCATACTACCCAAATGTATATATATATTGTTTGGTTATGTTTTTTTACTGTACTTTTGGTTTGTGTTTGGCAAATGGCTTAAATAAAGTGCCAATTGCCGCAGAATGCAGTTGCTGGCGTTAGAAACTTCACTGGGAGGTGCATACGCGCTGACACTTGAATTGGAGGCATACACGGCGTATGAGTGATGGGAACAGGTCATACTTTTCCTCAAATACTTCCTCCCTGCACACTACACTTCCCAAATTAATAATCGTGCTTATAGAGAGCATGGAAAGGCCTGAAATCCATGGAAAACAAAACACTTGTCCTTTTCTCTGAATTCTAAACACCTCTTTTCGAAACATTAGTTTTTTTTTACTAGCGCCACCTATATGTCAGAGCTGAACACCAATTCCGACCAAGTTATTGGTTTGTGTCTTGGAAAGAAGTCACGCAGTCGTAGCCTGCGTGTAATATTTACAACAAATCTATGCAAGAACCACAAATGCAAAAATATAAGACTTTATTAGCCAAGTTTGTAAAGATATGGCTGATATATTGAAGATATTACTCCTCTAGTTTTATTGGCTGGCTGTTGTTTTATTCACAAAACCAATGATCCAAGGCATATACCTATTGACATTCGTGTACACAGTAAGCCCGTTATCGGGGCCCTCGTAGCTGGCCAAGCCAACCAGGGTGTAACCAATTTGGGTGCCAGTCACTATCGTGGTTACCAAAGGGCTGCCGCTGCCTAGCTGCTGGCCCACAAACTGGGTCCTCGTGCAGATTTGATCAATCGAAATGTTGCCATATTTGGCGCACAGGTGGTGCTTCGGCAATTCCACCACACTGCCAATTTCGCTATTGACAGCGATGGCTTCAGTCAGTCTACTGTTCTTCTTTTGAAAAACTTCCGTTTCTTCAGGGGTGGAGGGCATGCAAAGGGGTCGTTTAAGGGCTAAACAAGAAAGGGATGAGATTAGGACACTCTAGGTGGATAAACAGGTAACCTACCTGTGTACTGGACAAAATCCGCCAGTTGGAGTAGGGCAATGTCATCTGCGGCCACGCTTGTGAAGTTGGGGTGCTTATGCATGGCTTTGACGTGATAGGTAGCTCCCCCGGCCAAGCCCACCTCTCTGATGGGAAATTGAAAAAATAATATAATAAAAAAAAAACCCTAAATAAACCCCATGACTTACAAAGGTGCTGTCGTGGGCAACAGCGAAGCAGTGGTCACGACGAATTCTATAAAAATGAGAGAAAGAATTCAATATTACTTAGATCATCTTGAAACGTATCACTTCATACTAACTGTTGGATATAAGTGCTCCATAGGCCAGCACAAACCGAAATAGATAGACCGTGGCTAGCCATGGATGGGGGTCGGATGGGCTATAGTTTTCATAGCACGCCTGGTCCAAAAGATCCTTCTTTGGAAGGAGAACTTTAATGTCCTCCTCCACTGTTTGCTTTATCCAATTGACGTAATACATAACATTCGTATATACTCCTATTCCGGTGCAGTGTTCTGTGCCAAAGCTGACGACTCCAAGCTGTGTGGTACGTTCCTTTCCATTTATCACTGTAACCGTGGAGATGGGTCCTCCCGAATCCCCGTTACAGGTATCAGCCCTTTGGGGGAAGGCTTTCATTTTCCCCTTGCCACAAATCTTACTGTCTTCCCTTTCTTCTCGAATTAACATAACACCGTCGTCGTTCCAGAAAATAGCACTACAACTGTCCCATTCTTCGCGATTGATGTCCACCTCCATGAGTATTTCGCTTTCTTTTACGTGCTCAGTATCTCCCCATCCAGCTGCCTTAAAGTGCGAAACAGCATCCAAAATGGGTTGTTTCCGCGGATCCGTTAAAACGCAAATAGGTCTAATGTGATCAGTATAGACCACCATTTTTTCCAGCCTCAGCAAGCAGATGTCATCGTCGTAATGTCCCGGCTGATAGGTAGACGGAATATAGTGGCGATCAACTAAGAATTCTTGAATGCGATAACACTTGTGTCTGGAGACTGAATTCTCGCAATGTAGATGGTTTGATCGATTATAAGCCCCCAATTGCGCGACGCTGAAACAATAGAAATCCAACTGATAATGGCATCTTTATGTGGGGTTTTTCTACTTACAGTGCCGTTCCGTTGTCAGTGCAATGTGCTGCTGTTAGAACGTACCCTGGAAAGCAATGAGGGTTTTAAGGATATCCAAGGACCCAAGGACCGGTCAAAATACTCACGATTGCTAATAAGCGTTCCCCCGCAAACAAATTTGTTAGCTCGAAGGAGACTGACCATCCATGGGTTAGCGAGAAACTCAGCTTCTATACCTTGTACTATCCTGGGGAGAAGATTCTTAATCGGTTTTTGCGGTTTTTCTGCAAGACCGCAATTTTCTTCGAGAAAAACACACGACACAGGGAAACCGAGCTGAATGAGAGTGAAAGTAAAAGTCAGCCATACCAGGGTCGACATTATTGCGTCCGACCAGATCGAAAAATAGCTTTGAACTGAGCTCTCGGGAGCCGGCTTAAGACCCTGATAAGCTTATCACTTCCCCGAAGCGAGTTTAATTTAAAATATATGTGATTCTTGGAACAATGAATCATTCAACTTTCCTAATTATTTTTGCTATTAACTTCAAAATTTCCAGAATTCTAGAATTCTTTTGAAAAAGTTCTTCTCAGCTTGGATAGTGCTGATATCCAGTAGCGAAAGGAATCTCTCCCCAATTTTTAGGGAAAATTATTGCTCCAGGTGATGAGTGTGGAGAGTGCTGGGCACGTGGCCACCAGGACATTGCGATAACGGGGACAAACAGTTTGACAATTTAATGCCAGCCCAAGAACAGGCTCAGGCGGAATCCAGTGAGGGTCCAGTTTTGGTTGAAACAACTCGTGCTCGCTGACAACATTAGCAAAGGGGGATCCAGGCTATAATTATAATTCCATTACCTACGGAGAGCAAAAGGAGCCCATTTGAAAGGTGCTGCCGCGCCAAGATCCTGTGCCAAGATCCTGCGCAAGTCAAAGACAATTGAGTGGCGTAATTGCCGCTCCGGCTAATGACGCCAAGGATAATGCGGGCCGGCCGTGTTAATGTGGCCAGAACGAGCAGGTGAATCGGGAAGCGACTCTCCCAAAATGCGGAAGTATGCGCATTTTGTCCGATTCGCAGCGCTTCGGATCCGATCCGCATTTGATGGATTTGACGGAATGTCCGAGGCGATAGCGCTGCTCACTTCCTACCACCGCAGCTGCCACTCAGCCACACTCACTTTTATGAGCCGCCAAGTGGGGTCGACGCGCATTCGGCGATAAGAATGTCATAACACAAGCTCCCAATTAACTGGGTCTCTGTCGGTGGAGGTGGAGCCGTGATTGGGGCCTTCCACCACGAACAGATCTGTCCGGGGGCTCATTTGCATCCGACTCATCCGTCTCGGCGAAGAACCCCTTCGCGGCCCAGCGGGCGATGGTGCGATGTCCCAGACCGAGGACCCACTCAGTGATGTTGATTTATAAAAGCCAAACAGTTAAATGTTTCTGGTAAATTGCAAAAAGCAGCCAAGTGTTCTATGTGGCTGAGAAACCGCTGAGTGGTCCCCTCTGTCGAAGGAGAACCGCGCAGGGAGTCGTCCAAAGATATCCATCAACGAGTGGCGTGTTTGGCTCCTGTAAGCTGTTAACTCTGTTTATTGCCGCTGAACCGACCGACGGACCACCGAAGGGTCATTGGCTCAGCGGCCTTTGGGATGTGTCTCTGGATCAGGTCTCGTTTGCGAAAGATCTGTCGGTCTCACAGGCCTCAGCTCGGCATTGCTGCTATATTCACACCCATGACAGTCAGTTCATTTCCGCCCTTGCGGCTCCAATCAATGGCCACAATAAAGGTTAATTATGTAAATGTCACCAACTAGCTACTGTCTTCTGTCTACCTTCGACCGATTCCCATACCCATTCCCATTTCCACTATCCATTTCAATTTCTATTCCGAATCCAATTCCAATTCCGATTCCGAAACGTGCTCAAAACTCACAATTTAATGGTCTCTCGAAACATTTCAATTTTTATTAGTTCACATCGGGTCCTAACCTGTTGTCGGGAGCGTTCTAAATGAGAACATAACTGCTTCTGTTGCCACCGCCAATTAACCCCTTCCCGGCCCTTACCGGTCTCCTGTCGGCTTGCCGCTTTTTACGGTTTAATTGTGCCCACGGCCCAGAGACAAAACAGAGAAATCAATCTCGAAATGCGTTGACAAGTGAGCCCAAGACTAAGGCCAAGACCGAGCTGCTGGCGAGCTGACAGAGATTGCGAGTCACCTCGGACCCCGAGAGAGGTGCATTTAAGTGCACCCTTTTGGGAAACTAACCATAAAAAATTGCTTCATTTAACAAGAGCCAGTTAGGCACTAAAATACCGACCCAGACAATGTACACATCCCATCCACAACCCAAGACCCGGGAAGAGGCCAAATGCCAGGGTCAAATCTTCTGTCTTTTGGGGGCAGAGGGTCTGGCCTAGAAAGCGGAAGCTCTCGACGGAGGAAGTGGCAGTAGCCGTGGTTAGGGTGATAAATCCAGTATTATTTCATATTTTATGAGTAAACCTCCAAAAGAAAAGAGTAGTTTCCTGAATCGGGAAAGTTTCTCCATCGCTTTAATCCTTAAAGGCTCTTCCTAATTGAAAACCATTAATTGCGGTGCTTGCTGCTGTCAGCCAGGGCTATTCCATTACCATTCCTTCTGGCGGATCAGATCGACAATGCGACGGAATGACATTCCCAGCTCTGATTCCGCATCTGATTCCGTTGTCGCTGCAATGTCAAACATTTGGAGCTGCTAATCGCGTAAAACATAACACCATTACCGCCATAAAATAAATTTTCTGCCATAATATCTGTCGCAAAGAAGGGCCCCGGGGCCTTCATCGTCCAAGAGGACGATGACGATGACGACGACGCCGACATCTTGTGGCTCTCGGACCGCAATTCCAATTGCCAATGCCCCAACAGGATTTTGATTTATGCCGAAATAGCAAAGGCGAGCGATCTGGCGGGCGAGCAAAAACCAAAAACACAAATCAAACGCAACAGCGCGACGAAACATTGCAACAATCCATGCGAGCTCTCGGCTTCAGCTCCTGCTCAGGTCCTCCTGCAAGAAGCTGGCTAACAAGAGGAGCATGTTGGGGGCAAAAAAAAATTGGCAAAGCCAGCGCGAAATCCAAACGCGAGCGACGCGCGCGTTTTTTGTCGCGCCAAATGCGCCCCACAAAAACGCGTCTTTCCTGGCCTGGCCCATTGCCTCATTGATATTTCGATCGCGAGCGTATAAAAATATTCTGTTGTGCCCGATCTGCCGATCTCTCGATCCCGATTTCAATTCCGATTCTGCCTCTGATTCAGATTCTCCGACTCTGAGTCCAATCCTGGCCTGGCCCAAAAGTGTCGCCCTAGCAGGATCGACGCTGCGATCAACGATCACCATCAGCCTTTTATCGTTCTTAGACTGCACTTGAAAATAATCTTTCCTACCTTACACGATTTTAAACTAATCCTTCAATAATTAATAGACATTATAAACAATTAATTCACAAAAACACAATCCAATGAGGCTTAATATACCCCTAAGTTGGGTATATCTATACCAGACAGCATTTTTTCTGCGTGTAACAGTTTTTGTGTGGTGGTCGCAGTGGCTGTCAGTCATAGTCATGCCAGGGCATTCCAATCTCGCCATGATCAGAAGGCTTCTTCAGCCGTTTCTTGTGGAGATTGTGCGGCGGATTCCGCCGGCTCTCCGAATTCCGCGCCGTCAGTTTCCTTGCGCGCATCCTCAACGCCTTTTAGCATTGTTTATGAAGTGAGTGAAGTGATCGGAGCTCCTTTACAGGATGCGGAATCGCGGCCTGCACGTGATACAATTATGGCAGGGTTTTTGTGGCCCCGTGTGTTATTCTTTTCTTAATTTTTTTGCCCTCTTTGCATAATTTAAGGCTCCGCGCAATTGTCGCGGCAATTATTTTTAGACTCTGATTTATTGGTGGCATATTCAGAGTAGCCACTGGGAGAAGCCACTGGGAAGCTCGGAAGTCTTGGGAAAGTTTCTCGCAACTTCACACCTTCGCCCAGGATGGCGATGCTCCCCAGGTGATTCTGCCTGCCCCTCGCGTCGTTACCTGCTTACGAATTCCACTCACAATTCCTGCCGCCGCTACACCATGCCGATTCCAATGGCAATGCCATTTTCGCACTCCCAGTGCCAGTGGCAGTGGAGCTGCAGTTGCAACCATTGTCGCCTCTGGCGACTTCCCCTTCTGCCTGCCGGCGGGGCCGCCGCGGGCGATCGATAGTTATGGTCGTGTCAGACATCCTGTAATTCCGCCATGCCTCCGTCCCAGCCTTGCGCCCCGTCCTCCAGCGTGTTGGCAACTTGTTGACACTTCATTGGCGCGCAAGTTAATTAAGAAGGAGATGCCGTAGAGCAGGCCGGACCACCGACGATGGAAGGCTACCAAGGGAGGCCATGTCTCCCAACATTCAAATGTAGAACTTATAGAAATCGACGATGTTGAGGATGTTTTCTATATAATTTAAAACCCTAAATATTGAATATTGAAATATTGTTTTTGTTTTAAATATTTACTTTATTCTTTAAATCACCTCCATTTACAGAATGGTATCTTGGATGGGAACGGAATTCAAAAGTATTACGGCTTAGAGTCTAGAGAATCAATAAGCTTTGTCAGATTTAATCAGAGATCTTAGCGTGGAATGAAGCTTAAACAGAGATACATTTTAACTAATTCCGAATCCGTGAAACTGTAAACCATGGTGCGTAGGATTATTCTAACATATATACACAGATCATAACTGGGTCAGTGGGGGAGGGGTACTGGCATAGGAGCTAGTTGACAACCTCCACGCTGCAGTCCTCCTCCTGGTCCTCCCCGGGCTCCTCGTCGCCCTCGGCTGGCTCGTCCTCCTCCGGCTTAACTTCCACTGGCAATGCGATTGGGCTGTCTTGGCTGCTCTCGCACGAACTGGACTCCAAGCACTCCAAGCGACTGCTGTCCAGTCGCAGCCGTTTCTCGGGCTTCTTGAGCAGCTCCTCAATGGAGTAGGGGTTCCTCTTGCGGCTGTGAGTCAGAGGGGCTCCTGGTGAGGTCTCGGGAGCATGACCCATGCCGGCGCCTCCACCAGAGGCTACTAAGGACAGAGCCGCCGGCGAGGACTTTCCAGAATCACAATCACTGAGCGCGTCACCGGCCGCTCCAGGCGTGGACAAATCGATGGAGCTCTCCGACTTGGTGAAACCACCGGTGCTGGCGGAGGAAGTGGCAGCCGCGGCTGCCATGGCATGAGGCAAGTAGCCGCCGGCGTAGGGTAGGAACTGCCCCCCAGAGGCCGCCGCCTGGGCCTGGATGTGTGCTTGGGTGTAGTAGAGCAGCGACGGGTTCCACAGCCAGTGCTTGTGCAGAGCCGAGTAACTCAAGTCCAGGCCCGAAACATTCGGGTTGAGGCCGTGACTGGGACTGTGGCCGTGGGCCAAGTTGGGCGGCATTTTGGGAGCCGGCTTGATGGGCATCTCACCGCCAGCGCTGCCGCCTCCACTCGGAGAGGTCAGCATCAGCGTCGTCGGCTTCCCGTATCGCATTGCGGCGGTGGGTGTAACGGCATGGGTCGGAGGTGCGCCCACTGCCACTGGTGGAGGAACTTGGTAGCCGGGCGAGGGACCGGCGGTACCCGCTTGATGGGCCGCTGTCGCCGCTGCCGCTGCTGCTGCGGCCGCTGCTGCTGCTGCGTTCTGCTGACTGGAGGTCATCTCGTCCGTCCAGAGGCCGCTGTTCCGCAGGATTCGGTTAATCGAGCTGATCGAGGGCACTGAGCTCGGGTCGCAGACTCGTTGCTGCTGCAGCTGCTCCCGGATCTCCCACGCAAACATGCCGCTGTTTTCCTCCTTCAGACGGATGATCTTCTTGACCACAGTGGGAGTGGCCACTTGCTGCAAGAAAGAGGCAGATATAGAGTTAAAGTCGGTGCGGTGAGGGGATAAAACCCGTTCCCAACCCCATCAGCTATGCAACTTTGTAACCCAAAACATGTAGATTGGTAACTTGATAAAATCCCCGAGACTTGCGACGCGTTTATCACCACCATGTGTCTCCGGCCTCTCCCTGCCATTTAATTACCGTGAAATTCAATTGTGGCCTAAACTAAACCAGACCGGACCAGAGCGCCCTTTACTTGCAACAATTGCAAAAATTTGCAGTGCAGGAACGCCCTTTCCCAGCTGACATGTTCGCGGGCCGAGATTTGGATCGGACCCGCCACACGGTGGCCTTTGTGGCCCTCTCGCCCACATTTGGACCTATTGCATATGTTAATTTGGCCAAGTTTCCGAGGACTGGCGCCCGCTCTTCACGTGTGACGCGGCAATTCATTAAAAATTCATAAATACACTTTAGGGGTAGCGTTTTGTGAAATAAGCTTGCATGCCAGATCTTATCGGACATCTACACGCGCCCTGGCCCTTTGTAGCCACTGTCCTGGCCCTTCCTGGAGCGGTGTGGGGGCATTACTGGTCTTTATTGACCCGGCGTAGGTGTTAAATGCGCGTTTTGTTCGAGCGAGCGAGTGCAGAGCACTTATTGAATCGCCATGTAAGTGGGAGGGTTACCCAGCCCCCATCCACAAAGGCCACAGGCCTGGGTGCACTGTGCACTTGGGGGCGTGGCAACTACCGATAATTAGGTGTTCTGTGCCGTCGGCAAACACAACACCTGAGCAATTGTTTGTCTAGTCGAGAGGTTTTACGGAACCCACTCTGCTGTTGGTGGTTTCGGATACCCTTTCCTCTGAAAGTATTTTATTCCATCACACTAGTAGTAGGTGACCTAATAGAGAAACGCACAAAACTGTTACACCCTCAATAGACTGGGGTTTTGGTCGTGATTCGGTCCTATCTATGGATCCCTGATCCAGTTGCGTACGGCACTATCACAGCCCCCAGGCACGTCCTGCTCCGCCCGTCTGGGCCTCGTATCCATCCCCATTGTCGTCACTTGTGGGCCGTGAAGCGAGTGGCGGCTTAAACGGTAGCAGCCACACTTGATTGGGCGTGCGACCCGAACAGGTGGGCAACCATCATCATCACCATCCTTTAGCTTATCTTCCTAGTTCGGGCGAGATTGATTTGCTGCGCTCTCTGCACTCGAAGTCCTACGCCCTCGCCCTCGCCACAGCCCCTTGGTCCGGCAGAGGTCCCAGCCCTACCCTGAAACTCCCACACGACCATAAAAGCTGTCATCGAAACGGGAGAACATGTAAACTAGCTGCTGGTTACAAAAAAAAAAGCTTATCGGGGCTATCGGTTTCCGTGTATCTGTGATACTTTATGGATTTACTGCTGTGCGTTTGATTTTTATATAATCGTTTGTTGATTTCATGCACCACCACACCGGACCACATGTGGTTTCCCGTCCCCAAAGACCTAGAGCGCCCATTCGGATCCCCGTCCCCGATTCGAAGACCCACTTACCTTGGTCTTGCTGCCACCAATAGAACCCGGTCGAATAGATCCCGTCTCGTAGTAGCGAGTCAGTATTTTAGAGACGCATCCTATCCGCAGGGAAGAGAAGAAGAAAAGCGGTTGCTGTAGATACAAGCGGATCAGTAGTCTCTCTAAATCTTACCATGGGAAACCAGGAGCTGGCGGGATATATCACAGGGCCTGACTCCGCACACGGCCAGTTCGACGATCCGGCGACGAACGCAGTCCGGCAAAGGACGGCCATTGACGAATACTCCTCCCAGTTGGTTGACCCCAGCTTGTCCTGGAAAATGCATGGAAGAATGGGGATATTTATATTAGTCTTAAGCTCATCAAACTTGTATCTGAGGCCATAACCTCCCAAATAGTCAAATGGCTAACTGGAAAGATCGTAAAGGCAGGCGGCAAAAGTGCGCCAGTAATAACCGTGGCCCTGTTTAGCTTTTTTTGGGGGGGATTTCTTAGGGACTGCGATCGCATCAGGTGCTTTCATTTATTTTCACTTCAGAGTTCATTAGCGAGAGACACTCACCTGTATGCGGCATGGCTGAAATCGATTCCAGGCCGACTACAAATTTTGATCAACAATTCAATTCAAGCCCGAAAGTGACTCGATTCAATCCGATCCGATTCGATCTCTCCGTCCAGTCGCTTAGCCTCCGTAAAGTATTTTGGTTTATTTGCTGTTTGTCGAATACTGATGTTGCTGCTGCTGCGGCTGCTTAGTTAATCGCTGAATTTTAATCAAATTTCAAGCAAGAACGCCATAAAAACGCTTTGATGGATGTCGTCGTGGTCGCCGGGCTATTAGGATGCTCGCTTCAACCTGAGAGGTTCTCGGTGTTCGAATGCTGCTTCAGCGGCCCACTCCCCGAAGTCTTTTTACGGCTTCCACGAAATCGCCTCTCCGTCCAGCCCAGAACCGATCAGGGAACAGTGAAAATCTAGTAAGGAAAATACATAAAACTTAATTATTTTATAAAACTACTCGGCTGGGGGAATTTAATGTGCAGTGGTTTATGTGCTCAATGGCCATGTCCAGTGACCAGTGTCCACCGTCCACCGAGCAGTTGCCGGTGACCGGTGACCGGGACCAGGCTAAGGTATCTCAAATTAGCTGCTTATCAGGCACATTCCCGGCGCAGCGTGAACCGCTGGCCCATTATCGGGAGTTACCCCGACCCGGGCCCATTTCTTCGGGCTCACAAACTACCAGCCAGGCCAACAATTAAAATGAATTTTGGCCAATTGCTCATTTCGGTTAAATATGCAATCCTGAAGGAGATATGCAAATGGGGCTTTCAGCACCACCACGGAAACCTGAGAGAGGGTGGTTTCCGCTTCCTGTATTTTCGTTGCCTTTCCTCGTTTTTGACCAGGATTTGTGGCTGTCGCCGGCCTGTCAGAGGCATGAAAACGCGCTGAAGAACCGTATAAATCAAAAACTGTAACTGGCCGGACTTTGTCATGGCCATGTTATTATGGAATTCACATTAGATTTAATTGCCGGGAGCCCGGGAGTCCTTAGCCCTGGTCCTGCTGCTATTTTTCAGCTCGTAAACCCCCCAAAAATGCGCGTGTTAAGCCGCAAAACCACCGCACGCACCACACACTCAGCCCCTTTTCTCGAAAATAAAAAGAGAACAAGAAAAGAACTCGAAATTAAGTTGTTCATTAGGTTTTTTTTTGGCCTTTTTATTTTCTTGGCCAGCCGCTCACCTCGGGACGGGAAACTCGTGCTGGCCGTTAGGGCCATTAATTCGCAGTTGGCCCGCGGCCAAAGCTCGGCGATAAGGATTCCAATTCCATCTGTTTTGTAGAAAGTGAAATAGACATTCCGGTCGAATCCAATTTGGGCGCAATGAAAGGGTTAATTTACCCATTGGCGTGCTGCTTGCCCATTTCGCTGAGACCAGGCCCAATCGAGGCCATCGTGCAAGGTAAGAAATATATAGTTCCGGGCAAGAGGCCGGGTTGCACCCCACATGCAGATTTCCTCGCTTTAGTAGCCAGTGAGATAGGTTCTCATTAGACCCTCACGATCTGTCATCAGATCGTTTTTTGAGAAATATATAAAGAATTATGTGGGGAGTTATATTTAGAGATGCGGCTAATCTCCGTCTCTCCGGCTGACCTTTACCCATTCAGGTTTTTGGGCAGGGACACACTCGTATAGACGGAGACCTGACTGCCACCGATTTCTCCGCCAATCCACTCGTAAGTCTCAATTAGCTCCGTGCACATGTCAAGCGGAACGCACATAAAAACCGATAGAAATTAGTTAAACATACAATAATTTAAATTCGTGCGATTACCGAAAGTGGAACCGACAGGTTGGCCGAGCTTCTGTTTCTGTTTTCGGACCCGAACCCACTCCCTTTTATCAATAGCCCCCCGCGGCTGGGCCCCGCTGAATGAACCGATCCATCGATCCACCGATCGGGCATTAACAGCCGCTAATTAAAATAAAAAAATTATAATAAAACGTACGCTTCACCATTTGAATATGATTAGCTTGGTCTTTCTGGACCAGAGTTTTTTAAGTAAGTTGTCCAGCGGCTCGTTGTCTCGAAAAGAAAAATAAAATAAACACGATAGACCAAAAGACCAAAAGACCATAGACCATATAGACCGGTGGCTTATAGAAAGCTCCCCAAAAATCAATGAGCCATTATGGCAGCCAGAAGAGACGACGGCATGACAAAGAATTAATTAGCATACCATTTTTGAGACTTGCCGCTCGCCCGGACTCGTGGGAAAACTATGGCTATGAACGCAGCAAGTCATCGATCTGCCGGCGATTGATCGGAATTATATGAGTATTATCTTCGAGCGGCGGAAGTTCAATTGGTCCAAGTGGCAGTTTTGCATTGCAAATTCGACGGAATCGGACTTGCGGCAATCGCCATCCGGTGGCATCTTCCACTTCATTCACAAATGAATATTAAAATCACAAGTCTCGGTCGAAACTAACGCCGCCACTTGAATGGATATCGGCTCGTTCCGTTCCGAGGCGATCCGTTAGATCGTCGTTCATTAAGAAAATAAGCCGCCGATCTACAAAAAAAAAAAATCTGAGACCGATGTGTCGAACACGATAAGCAAATATCGTTATTAAGCCTTTCAAATGATGCCGCAACCTGCTCGGGAGCGACTCGATTTAATGATTTAGTTGTTGAGAAAGCAAATTATGCGCAAACAAATTGATTACGATCGTTTATGGTGGTCATTATGGGCAGGTCGATCGACTTGGGCCGGTAGGGTCTTAATTAAGTCACTCATAAGTCATCCTCGGTATTGGGGATTCTTATTATAATGTAATGTACTCCCCATGTCGTAGAAGATTGCTTCAAGTCAGGAGGAGCTAGTCCTTACTACAGCAAGACTCTTGAGGATTCTTGGTACTCTTTTAAGCTTCACCAACAAAACTCTTTCAAGTCCTTTTCACAATTAACTGAGACCATTATTCACCGTACTGCCCTGAGATCTGTGGACCACTTACCTTTATCTTTCTGTATTAAGCTGATAGGTAACCGCCGGCTATCCACTGTTTTGTCTAATAAGCAAGTCCTTTAGGCTTGGATCACCACAACACTTTCCGCTAGTGGGTTTATACCACGGAGGCACAGAATCGCGGCGGCTCACTCGGTGAGATTAATAGGATGCTTTCAATTGGGAGTTCGCGGCGCGACGCACCTTGTCACTCGACCGTCAAGAATTCGACTAACTGCACGCGTATCGCAGAGCGCATCGATTCGATCGCTTTTTTTGGGGGAACTGAGACTGAAGCGCTGGGAGTTGCTTGCTCCTCGGTCCATCAGCCTACAACGGCTACTGACTACCGCGGCGCCTCGGCCAAATCGAAACCGAAAACAAAACCACACGCACACTGCCTCTTTGGCACACACACACACCCTGACGGGTTCTTTCACGGGCTCACGGCGAACCGTTTTTCTGGTGTAACCGGTTTTTCACGGCTGCCGCAAACGCCGCAGTTCCAGCCCCATTTGGCCCGCCACTGGCCAATGAGGGCCCGGCACGGGCAACTTCTCCGCGCATGCGTTACCTGCCGGGTCGGAGCAGAGCTGCCATTGGTCCGAACCCCGAAAGTGGAGGGGGCCAGGTGAAGAGCCACCACTAACTCTGGGATGCGTATTCCGGGAGCAGAGTAGACAGGGCACAGTGGGATACGTTGGGAATGTGGAGAGAAGACTCCACGAAAATATTATTATAGAAATCCTTTCAGGTAATCCGATTCTCTCTAGTTTTTGAGGAAATAGTTATTGAGGATATATATTCTCTGTGTCCTGCCGGGATTCGTCCCACTGTGCAAGGCATGACGTCCGCTTTGCCGTCTTGGGCTGAGAAATCGCTTTCCGGGGCAGACGACCAGGTCCGAGCAGAGCAGAGCGTTGCGGCAGCGTGGCCTTATCCGTATCCGTTGCCGTTGCCGTTGCAGCCGCGTTCCGGCCAATCGGCGGAGGCAACGCAGCACGCAACCGCTTCCCCGCCTTCCGACACCCATACTCTCACCATCCTGTTCCAGAGGGTGTATGCTGCATCCCAGAGCCCAGTGCTTCGCATCCGGATCTCCACATTGTGACACAACGCGGGGCATAGCCGTTACCCTGGCGAAACAGCCACAGCTACGGCCACAGCTACGGATCGTTCTTCCCGCCTACTCGGTACTCCTCCTCCGCTTCCTCCCTGGTACATCTCCCTGGGAGGGTGGGTTGCCGTGCTGGTGGGTGGTGGCATTAAGCAACGCTCGGTGGTGCCACGGCGTTAATTGAATTCGACAATTGTCGCTCGGCATTCACAATCGAAAATGAATTTCCACTGCGACGGTGACTGGCGCTGAAAGATAAAACTGTCATATTGCTTGTTGATTGTTCAAAGGGACGCGGGGCTGGCATTATTGATCCAACTCCGGGTGCAGAGCTCTCATCTGGAGGGGTATAAGGGAAATTAGTGGCCATGACTAGGACACCAAAGGCACCGATCAATAGGTACAGAGTAGAGGAACCTCCAGCTACCGAGTAAACATGTAACCCGTTCTGTAGCCGCGTGGCGCATGCAAATCCACTTGCCACCACAAAAATCCACAAAACCTGTGTGCGAAAACATGGACAATTCTTAGGCCCGACTTGCCTCCGGCTGAAGCTTCTGCTGGGCAGAGATAAAACTGTCACAAAGGCTGTGGGGTCGGAAGCACAATGGGCTGATACACCAGGAGTTGCCAGTTGCCAGTTACCAGCTACCATCCAGCTGCCTCTGACTTTTCCCAGGCAACCAAGCGCGGCATAATAAGATCAAGCGACCCATCCGTGCGTGGTGGCATCATCCGCCCTGCCCTCCGACCTCCCACCTCCCTGTCCTTTATGGTCCTTTAGTCCTTCGGCCCACCCAACTCGCCACGCCCAACGCCCAGTCCCGCCTCGCCGCCTCGCAGCACCAGCGTGTGTCTTACTCAATCTGACAAGGCGATTATGTGACCGAAAGCCTTTCAAGTGGCAGCAATTACCCAAACCCCGGGCCGAGACCAAAAAGCCAACTACGCCCCAATTAAGGCGCGCACACAAATCTGTGTGGGAAGTGTGCGTTTAGGCGGGCAAAGCCCGAATAGAGTTCGAATCGGGAGTACCCCTTAGGAAGAAGGACACCCTGGTGCTAGTCAGACATGAATTTTAGGAGGATAATCTTCATCAAGCCTTTCAAAATTGTTTTTGAGTGACGAACTGTCCGTCTAGTCGAGCAACCCCGTCCTGTCGAGGGCCTTCAAAAGAGCAACGGAAGTGGGAAAATTACCCGAGCTTGCACTGGTTTTAATATTGGGCGATTGTCAGTAGCGGGGTGTTGGTTGCACTGAAAGCCGGCTGTAATGAAAAGGGGCGGGACAACGGCTTAACTTCTTCCGATTGACTTGGCTTTCCACGCGCGCCACAAACTGCGATTCCTATCTCGGAATTTACACTCGCTTATATTGTAATTGAAATGAAATCCACTCCGGAGCGGCGTCTGATGACGAGGGTATCAGGGAGTGTGAGGGCAAAAGGGCGTGAGCAGACACCCACATCAAGTTTTTCTGGAGTAAATTAGCTGAACTCCTTGCCACAGGCAACGGATTCGTGCCACGGACTCATTAGGATAGCCGCCGATACAAAAAAAATACAGAAGCTGCGCCCGATTTAGGGGCACTTTTTGGGGCGGCTCGTGCCTGGAGGTCAGTCTGCGGAATTGACTCCGGGCGGATAGTCTAGATTTCATGGTCATTAATGAGGGGCATCCGATCGGAATGCGCCTGGGAATCGAGCAAAAAACTAAAAGTTCGTGGCGTGGGCGCTCATCGGAGATGAAATTATCGGCCGCTGCTTTTTTTTTTATCGAAAAGAAGTGGAGACTCCGCAGGCCCTTGGCTGAATCCTGGTATGAAATGTATTTTCTAATTGCAGGGGCGGCCTAATTGAGGGTTCCTGAGCAGAGCCCCGTTCTTGCAATCAGCAGATGCAAGCCAGTACCGAAAATTGTCCGAAAAAAAGGACAAGCCAGAAAAAAATTGAGGAAAGGAGACAAGGACCTGGAGGATTTTGTTGATGTGTGTGCGGGTCGCCAAATTGGCGCAGGTTACGCATGTGCCTCAAATCAAGGGACTGCCACGCGATGATGGATGCAGTCAGGCAGGTTGCATTGCTCTGGGCTCGCCTCCCGATCGGTCCTGTTGCACCTTGCCATCAGAACACGCGTGGCTCAGGTCCCAAGACAACAATCGGCCAATTTCGTAAATAGTTGCCGACAAACGATAAGATAAGGAGTGTTTCTAGGAGTTTGCAGCCCAACAACTACCCATAACTCCGTTGCCCTCACAAAAACCTTATTATTTTGTGTAGGAGGTCGAAGAGGCACGCGATTTCTATAGTGCCATAAAAATGGAAAAAGAAACTAAGACACAGGCCGGCTTAGGACTGACACAGGCATGTCAAAGCCAATTAATAAAAACGCAATTTCCACAAATCGACATTTTTATAGAGTTTACAGGGTTTTATTAGGACATTCCACACCTGCAGTGGTATCAGTAGAGGCCCGTTTGGTTGGATTGGCCGGCCGATAAGCAAAATGAGCAATTACGAAAGGACGAGGCCTCCGACAGGACACTCACCAGCGGGACTGGAGTTGCAGCATTTTCTCACATTAAGGGACGACTCGTCCTGCGCTCCACTGAACCCTGACACTCGCCCACAAAATGGCGGCCACCACAAACTGTTCATGGGGGAAGCGAAGGGGAATGAAGATGGAGAGAGATTCTCTCGGGCGGAGAAAGGAGCCCAGGGACCAGGGTGAGTCCTGGCCCGAAAGTTTGCGTGCAAGAAAGGACGAGGAACCTTTGCTGCGATAAATTAAATGTCTGACATAATTATGGCCAAATTGAAAAGGTAAGGAGATGAGCAGGGCCAGGGCCGCGAAGAAGGAAAACAAGACGGCAGGGACAACAAGGAAAGAATAGGGAGAAAGGACATTATTGTGCCATAAAAACTGAAATTATTTGATCAAACACAATAAACACGCCAATGCAAACATAGAAGCTCGTCGCTGACAGGCTAATGATAGGATGTGAGAAAGGATCCATCCAGATTATAGATTAGGAGACTATAATCGATAAGAATAAAGGGTGTTTTTGCAGATGTGCAGGTTCTTCACTTCATAAATAACTTGCGTTTAAAATCGAAGTAAAAGGTGGTTTTCTTTCGCACGAAAACCTGGACATGGGTTAGGCAGAGACTGTAATGTAAGCATTCCTCTACATCTTTGCAGAAACTCTTTGAGCTCCCCTCTTTCACTTGTGTGTGACTCTAATTATGGTTTTTATGACTCGCAACGCCTCTGGAAATCGGCCAGTACACATCATAGAATCCAAATCAATTATACGCTTGTCTAGGCCATTGAGCTTGCACCCTTCCCTTGAGCTCCTCCTCTCCCGTTAGCCATTGTCCATTGCTCCCATATTCCTACCAGGCACCGGGCCAGGAAAAGTGTTAAAATAACCATAAAAAGTTTGCCACTTCAAGTTCCATCTGCATCGTAATCGTAAAATGCCGCTCCGGCTGCTGCCTGCTCGTCTGGCTAAATGCAATATTTTTTACGATCCATTCCAGGTCCGAGTCCGATTCTGATTCCGACTCCAGATCCGAGTCCCAGGATGATCATTCTGGTTCGTTGGCCCCTTTGGCGGTGACCTGATGAGACGGTCGGCTGACGAGGAGTAAAAGTCAAATACGGTAGCTCGACTAATTGAAAAATTAAAGTCCCTAGCCAGAGCTTTCTAGGCTCGGGATACCACTGGGTCGAAGCAGTTGAGGCGGCACCGCCCACAGAACTTATTCCCATCCTTTTTCAAGTCATGCGGCATTCCTGAGCACCTCTAGTGAGGCCGGACCCCACGGAACCGGCATATCCCCCTCACTGACCGTCCCGCAAAAGGTGTAAAGCTGCCCATTGGGCGGCTAATGTGGCAGTCTGCACACCTTGCCAGACACTTTAAAGAAGCAAAAAGAGGAGCAAACCCCCCGGCTTCAGCGGCGATTATCGGATCGAAGGTAAACACAGGTTCTGGCAAGGCCCCGTCCTCCGGTTACTGCCGAATTTGTAATGCTGCCAAAAATCACTTCTGGTTTTTGCCAATCGATGATCGTTCGTCGTGTGGAGATACATATTTACCAGATACTTGCGAAATTAAAAGGTATCAGAGGTTTGCTTGGCGCTTTGAAGGGTCTGCCGAAAACACAAGAAAGTCCTCTTAAGGGACACAATGTACTCGAATGGATCGCAAGTATTTTAACTTAGTGACTACCAGGTATTTGTTAGTCTTGGATGAAATGCCACCACTGAGCTGGCTGAATGGCAGCTGCATTGGCCAGATCCTCCGATTCTCCGATCGTACCTTTTCGGGGTACTTGTAATTTGCTGACCAGCTCGATCCCCACAAGGTGTACAATCAACAAGAGGCGATCAGCAAAGGGTTACTTTGGCTTAATGCTCGCACTGGTGGATACTCGAGCTTTTAGGAATTATAACTACATTAAGTGCAGCAACAAATTGCAGACACTTGGGGCGTTTTAACAATGTCATTTACACAGGAAGAGTTAAGGGATGGAAAACAGGACCCTAAGTACCCGAGGACTCTCAGCTATAGCCATCGAGAGTCAACTATAAATTACCCGTTTAATGTACTCTCTGCATTGTCATACCAGACAAAGCGGTTATAGTCACAGTTCTGTGCGGTCGAGGTGCTGATTTCCAAATTTATTGCCTTATAAACATAATCAAATTCGCATCAAAACAAAGCCACGGTCCCCTCGAACACGCGTCCTGCTGCGCTCGAGAGGATAATAATGACAGATCCGGTAACCGAGACTTGGGATGATCGCCGAGGACCGAGGTGAGGCTGATCATCCCACCCCGATGCGGTTTACGCTTGGCTTCCCCCTTGGCTTTCCCCGAAAAGGTTCCTTTGTTTTCCCAAAAACCACACAGATTGCTCTTACCTCACATATGTCGCGGCTGCTGGATTCGGAATTATTCCGCCGATTGTCCAATTCGTTGTTGGCACAGCAAACGTTACGTGTCATTTAACCGCCAATGCTACTACCATCTTGTCGGGCTGTTGACATTTCAATCCGGAGAGCGGTAATCGATGCGTCCAAGTGCGAAATTCACGGCAGGTGTTGGATTACCTTCAGGAATCTGACACGCCAGGGGAGGCGACTGGAGAGGGAGGAGGCCGAAGCCACGGCCGCGCATCGCCAGCGGAAACTTTAATGTTCGCACATTTGCAGCTCATCAATTTTCGGCATTATCCCGTGGCAGCATCAGTTCATTCAACCTGAACTCTGTTCGCCGCATCATGTGGCATGTCCATGTTAGCGCCGTCTCTTGTTGACTTAATCGCCCCGAAACAATTTGGCCGATTTTCGGCGTGCTCCGCTCTTGACATGGCCTAAACGCTTGTCGCCTAATGACGGGGCCGCTCCAGCTGGCAACGGATGCAGTTTTCGGCGGATGCCGGGTGCCTGGTACCCTCTACCCACCGCATTATTAAGCCATAAAATTGAAAACTTATTATAATTACATAAACGTACGCCTCGACGCCTAAAGCACTGCAAGAGGATGCACTTTGAAAAAAAGGCCCAGTAAATCGAGTGCTCAATCCAGAGGTCCGAAGATTGTCTTTAGTTGGATGTCTTGCAGTGTACAACTCTTCAGTTGGAGCTGGAGGAAAGGGAATTCAAGGAGGGTTCGGGCTTTTAACGCGCTTTTGAAAGGATCTGGCATTTGGGCGCACGCATCTCGGTTGCTGGCTCTTTTCAAACTTCATCTCGTTAACGACCAAAGCAGAACAGATTTTTCCTCCAATTTTTGCAAAGCCTGGGGCATAATGAAAGGCTGAATTTTGGACCTGCTTCAGAAACAAGCTGTTGACCGTCGATGGCACTTTATCGACATTACCATTACCATTAAACATTACCATAAAGCCAATCGGCGTACTGCACTTAATTGCCACCAATTGCAACTGCTACGCTTCTTTTGGGAGCCACGCGACTCGAAAAGGTTCCTTTTGGACCCCACACGTTGCTGCAACAGAAGATATTTTTTTCTCCGAAACTCTAGGGTCTCCATGTTCCCTTATTTTTGGAATAAGACATTCTGAAAGATATCTAAAATACCTGGTGTTCGACTGCGGCCCTTTTGGATGACTCTACCCGATCCTTCAGGGGAATACCTTGATCGATTTGTAGCTCAATTCTCCATAAAACTGCATCAAAACCTACCAACGAAATTTTCGATCGTTTTTTTTCAAATTTTGTGGGGCTGTCCCTGAAAAATCTTTGCTTTCCATATAGGGCACCGTGCTTTCCATATAGGGCCCCTTTGGATGACTCTATCTTGGCCGATTTCTAACCGATCCTTGAGTGGAATACCTTGATCGATTTGTAGTTCAATTCTCCATAAAACTGCATCAAAACCTAGCAACGAAATTTCCGATCGATTTTTTTTCAATTTTTGTGGGGCTGTCCCTGAAAAATCTTTGCTTTCCATATAGGGCACCGTGCTTTCCATATAGGGCCCCTTCGGATGACTCTATCTTGGCCAATTTCTAACCGATCCTTGAGTGGAATACCTTGATCGATTTGTAGCTCGATTCTCCATAAAACTGCATCAAAACCTACCAACGAAATTTCCGATCGAATTTTTTCAAATTATTGTGGGGATACCCCTAGAAATCCCGAGCTTTCCATATAGGGCCCCTTTGGATGACTCTATCTTGGCCGATTTCTAACCGATCCTTGAGTGGAATACCTTGATCGATTTGTAGTTCAATTCTCCATAAAACTGCATCAAAACCTAGCAACGAAATTTCCGATCGATTTTTTTTCAATTTTTGTGGGGCTGTCCCTGAAAAATCTTTGCTTTCCATATAGGGCACCGTGCTTTCCATATAGGGCCCCTTCGGATGACTCTATCTTGGCCAATTTTCACCCGATCCTTGAGTGGAATACCTTGATCGATTTGTAGTTCAATTCTTCATAAAACTGCATCAGAACCTAGCAACGAAATTTTCGATCGATTTTTTTCCAATTTTTGTGGCTGTCCCTGAAAAATCTTTGCTTTCCATATAGGGCACCGTGCTTTCCATATAGGGCCCCTTCGGATGACTCTATCTTGGCCAATTTCCACCCGATCCTTGAGTGGAATACCTTGATCGATTTGTAGTTCAATTCTCCATAAAACTGCATCAAAACCTACCAACGAAATTTCCGATCGAATTTTTTTAAATTATTGTGGGGATACCCCTAGAAATCCCGTGCTTTCCTTCGGATGACTCTATCTTGGCCAATTTTTACCCGATCCTCGAGTGGAATACCTTGATCGATTTGTAGTTCAATTCTTCATAAAACTGCATCAAAATCTACAAACGAACAAAACCTACAAATTTCCGTTCGTTTTTTTCTCAATTCATGATTTTTTCCCTTTTACCCCTGTTTCCCTATACGGGATACCAATATCGATTCGTGGCCTTATAAGCTTTTTGCATTATAAACTATAAATAAAGTTTCCAATATATTCGATAGTTAAGCGTTAGTTATACTCATAAGCTGTCAGAATCTGTGGGTCTTAGTTCTTCTCTTATACCAAGCATGTGTGGGTCTCTCAGACTCTCATGATCGTAAATCGAATGACGTTGGCCACGAACTTGACTTCTAATAGCGTTGCGAGGGAATCGAGAGTCGAGATGGAATCCACTGCGTTTAAGTTCTGTGATTGAGTGACTGGGTTTGCATCAAGGTGGATAGCAATGCGTGCCACTAATTTATATCACTGCCTAGAAAGGCAGGTGCGTGAGAATTTTTGAATCAAAATGTGAGCTAGTTTTTATTGTTTTGTGTATTTTGTGACCAGGTAGAGACGGCTGCCGGGATCTTATCAGCGAGCGGCCTCGGAATAGGCTGACCTAATCTATTTAATTCCACTTTGCTTGCTCAAAATAAACAGTACTTTAATGCTTTAAATAAAATGAGAATATTTTTCCAATTCATAGTCCCGGTGTAAGAAGTTTTTATGTATTTTGCGAATGTTGGTTATGGTCTATCACAGTACTAAGCACACATGGGGATCTACTTAAGTTAACACAGTCCTTTTGGACTTTCGGCTTCCAGAAATTTCAGTTGTCTGTTTTCCGGACAAAGACCTCCTGCATCTCGACATCAGCCTGAGTTTGACGTTTCCGGCTTTTCCCCGTCCGGAACTGCTCCTCAATTTCCAGGAGGGAGCGGCGGCGGGTCTCCGGCAGAGCCCAGTAGACAAAGACCAGGGCCAAGACGGCCATGACCCCAAAGAAGACGAAACATTTGGGCATGCCGATAGCCTCCTTAAGATCGGGAAACGTCTTCAGGCACACGAAGGAGATGAACATGCCGACGGCCACTGTGAGTCCAGACGCAGGACCTCTCACCCTTTGCGGGAACAGCTCGGAGATCATGAAGAAGGGCAGGGTGTACAGACCCAAAGTGCTCAGCACAATGAAGCCCACAATAGCTATCACTGGCAAATAGGGTACTCCCTGAAGGAATTCACTCCAGCTCTGACCGGCCAGCAGGAACATACAGGCAGACATACCCACAGTGGATATTATTCCCGCCTTGCGCCGACCCCAGAGTTCCAGGATATACCCCATCGGGCAGGTGGTAATCAACCGGGCCAATCCTATCAGCAGAGCACACATAAACGGATCGATCTGGATGCCGGCTTCCGATGATATCTGGACCGCGTAGACGATGACCACGAAGATGCCTGTCAGCTGCTGGAAGGCGAACAGCGACATCAGGATGAGCAGGGGCTTGTGGACCTCCGGCTGCTTGAGGCTCCTCCAAAAGGACTCCTTGACCTCAGCGTCCCGCTGCTGTAGAGACTTTTGCAGCACTTGGAACTCCTCCAAAACCAGCGGATGGGTGATCTCATCTGAGGAAGAAGAGTTCGAAAGTTATCAACTGACTGGAAAAATTCCCAAACGACCTCCCCCAAGAAATTCTTTTCTTTTTTTTCAAAGACACAGTGATAAGGCCTGGGGCTGAGAAATATTGCCCAAAATGTGCCTCTTACCTGAACATGGGAAATGATTAGTTTCATCAGATTTACGATTGCCTGGGAGAATATTAGGGTGTGACTTAAGTGGGGGGCTAATAAACTTCAATTTTTTCATATCAAGTGCAAACAGATAAGCCGGTTAAAATGACAGAACTGCGCTATAAAAGCTAATTATTCAACTTGAAGCAAACGCCAATTGACTTTGATTTCTTCTTTCGAGGAGTCGTAACCTTGGGAAATATGGAAAGTATAACCTTACCTGATTTATTAAACCCTCTGAAGTAATTGAGCGACCGCTTGGCCTCGGTTACTCGCTTCTTGGCCAGAAGCCAGCAGTGGCTCTCGGGTAGGGGCAAAACGCATAGCAGAGCAACCAATTGGTAGCCGCAGCAGATCAGGGCTATCAACCGAAAGTCGTCGCGGATACAGTAGCCGATTCCGTAGAGTATCGTGATGCCACCAGCCACTGAGATGGAGGTGCCCAGGATGAGGCTTCCCCGCGTCCGAGGCACGCTGATCTCGGCCGCATAGACTCCTGGCGGGGCACTGGCCAGACCCATGCCGATTCCTATGAGGATAAGAGCATTATATAGTTGAGTACATCCCTACCAAGACATGGATACTCACCCAGCATGAAACGTGAGACGATGAGCTGCCAGAAAAAGGCCTGCGAGTCAGTTTGACTGGGAGTGGCCAGCAGAATCCAGGCCGCAATGGTTAGCACGTTGAGGACAATAAGAGACCGCTTGCGTCCTATCCTGTCGAGCAAAACTCCGGAGAGCAGTCCTCCCAAGGGAGCCGATAAAGCGTTTACCGATGCGAACCAGGAGCCCTGCGTTTCGGTCAGGTGAACTGGTTCCGTGGGGTCCTTCAGCTGATGCAAAGTAGCGGTTGGCATAGCCAGGGTCATGCCAGTGGAAAAAACACCGATGTTAGCCAGGACGACGGCCACCACCTGGCGGCGTACGGCTCGAAATTGTTCTCCAGGCGGACGTGGCGTCTGTTGGGGCCGATCCAGTCCTGAGACGATCTTGGCCTGCCTGCCATTACTCTCATTTCCGGGCTGGTGTAGACTCTCCTCCTGCTCCTTCATTTTTGGTTGTCAGCTAAAAATTTCATTTATTAAAATAATATTTTAAAACAAACCCCATTCTTTGGTTAGAAATTTAGCCCTTAAGTCAACTTTCCTAAGCAACCAACCGCCACAAAACATGAAAATCACTACCCTGGTATTTGTTTTTCTTTTAATAAAGATTACCTTTTGTTGGCCCACCATAAGGTACGTTTATGGTTTGTATATTTACTTGACTTAGCCTAAACAGCTTTACAGCACCGCCATAGAACTGTCTCACTGATTTCGGGCTCATATTTTTCGCTTAGAGTTCCCAAGATCCGAATTTTAACTACTAGATCAAATACTGGCCCTAAAAATAGCTAACCGGTCTATCGGTTTTGGATCTGAAGATATTGCTAATCAAAGAAAATTATAAAAATATTAAGGGAGGTGATCTGTATGCTAATAGGTAATACGAGTGTGGAAATTTTTGGCGGGAAACTATCAGTAAAAGTTCTTTAATCAAATGGTGATCGTGATCTATTGGGTTAACGTAATGCCTTCTGTTTTGTCACTAATTGTGCACTTGTTTGTTTTCTACTATATACATAAATTGTGCTTCGAAGTGGCCTTGCCACCGACAGCCCGATAGTACTAGTATTAGCATTCTAACCGATAAGAAGTGCGACTGTTGACCCTGTTCTCTTAGCTGCCGGGAGAGAAACCAAAGTGGGACTGGGCCACAGCTGATCTGATCCAGTACTCTAATCGATTTGTTTGTGGATCGCGAGCGAGGGTCTGGCCTTTAAGCAATCGATGCCAATTAACCGTCAATGAGTCCGCATGGCAGCAATTTAACTTGCAACAGATACTCACTTCTACTTGATGTGTGTGGATTTAGTTTTCCTTTGGAGAGATGAAGGAACTGGAGAACCTGCTGCCCAAAAAAAACTATCCACGAGGCGAGAAAACAGGTTATGCCAGGCAGAAAGGTCGTGACTCGAAGTGGATCCCCCAGATCTCGGACTGACACTGAGTGGAGCAAAGCGGAGCGGACCAAACCCGTCGAGTTAAGTCGCTGGAAGCAACTGAACAACGTCGCTGGCCACGTTGTTGGACTTGTCTCCGTCTCCCCGAACTAAACGGATCCGACTCTCACTCTCCCGCTCACAATAAAACACATCCAGTTGGGGAGGGGGTCGTCCGTAGGCGATAAAGCGGCTTGGAGACGTCATCCAGCCAATAGATTTGTGTTTTGTGTGTCATGATCGTTTTGATCGCTGATAGTGGGCCGACGCGCTGATCGGCTCGAATGTCGGCTTTGATAAAGGAACGGGTTGACAGATTACCGATGGATTGGACGATTAGGAGGAGCGGCCACCCTCCTGCTGTTTTTCCACTCGGCAATCAGTGAAATTTTCCCTTATCGGACAGACACTAAGTGACCAATTAAACCGCCCATAAGCTGTGGTAATGGACCTCCTCCGCTATACGGATCTGGTTGGGTTAACTTGGCCTGTCATACATATAGTACAGATACTTCTGCGCTTATCTCACGGGTATGCGGCGGTTGGCAGAGCTTAAATTCTTGGAGGAAGTTCTGCGAACAATCATTTACAGCTATAAACAGACTGAGCAGATTTATCTTATCGAACGAAAAATATTTCGCCTTGCCTTCCGCAATATTTACCGAGTGTGTCGCGACTTTGTAAACCAGATGACTGGGTGGATGACAGCCCCAGCTCGGCGTCACTCTCGGCGGCAACTAATTGGATTTTGCTGAAATGGCATGCTGTCAATTGGCCATTAGGAGTCGGTGGGAGATAAGATAGCATTGATTAGCCGAGGTGTTAGCTACTAAAACCGAAAAACCGTTGAGGAGTATCATGGCCATGAGGTCTTGTTATTGACTGTTTCAGGGTGGTAGATTGGCTAGCTTGCGTCAGCGAGCGTGTGGTGGAAAAACAAGCTAAACGAAAATAGACTGTTAGACCGTGTTATTAATATCTATCTGTAAGAGCGATACTAATTGCCTCCTAAACTCTTTAATAAATCTCTAAAAGGATTGGAAAGTATAGAATATGATATCTACTCAAAGCTAGACTTTATGTTGGCTGTGTAATGAATTTCTTATTTATTTTGTTGACTACTTTAACACCCAACATGTATGCTTGTTTTTTGTCGTTTCAACCATTAAACTCCCGGCTTAGTAAAAGCCCCCTTTCTCTTAAACAGTTCTTCCCCCTTTTTCTTTTTATACCAGCAAAATTTTGGTATTTCGGTTTATTTAGATTGGTATATTGAAACAGGTCCAAGGATGGTCACACCGATTCGGAGCTTCAAACCAAAAGAAAGCAGAACACATACAATGTGCTCGAAAAAAGTTTAAAACAAGCGCGATTTTCACAGGAAACCAATTTCCTTAAAATTCCTCAAGACTGTCTTAGCGCGAATTGACCGAAACTTGGCGAACTTGGCGACAAGGATGTGCCTAGGGAGACCGAGGCAGGGACTTTAATCGAGTGTGTTGAGTCAAGAGTGTTGCCCCAGGCTCTGTCACCTGGCCACCCGCCGCCTGACCGCCCCCTTTTCACCAGGACGCAACCCCCCCAACCCAACTAGGACGGGCAGCGTGGGATGAAAGCGCTTGTTTTCTTCAGGCAGACGTGCCTTGCCAAGAAAATAAAACAAGAGGCAGCATCCTTGGAATAATTTATTCAAGAAATTCGCAAAAAATCAAATCAAAACGAAACGAAACGCAGCGAAATCGAGAATCCGAGAGCGAGAGAGAGCAGAAGTGTATGTTTTGTGTGTGTATGTGTGAGTGACAGTAGAGAAAGAAGAAGCAGCAGCATCCTGGAAGCCAGAGAAAGGCAGGAAAAGCAAAGGACAAAAAACACAAAAACATAGAAACCCAAGGATACCGCTTCGTCGGCTAAAGGACCTCGCATGGATAGCATGGAGGAATGCCGCTAAGCGCAGTCCCAGACGCAGGAGCAGAATCAGCCGCCAGGACAGCATCCTCCTCCAATGCCACCGCACGGACACAGATACAGAGATACGGATACGGTGTCAGACACAGATACAGCCACAGCTACGGACACGGATACCGATACACGACAATAATGTCCCTGCTTTCGTCCAGGCAGCGGCGCATTATGCAGTGATTTAGCCACTCATCCCTCGTCCTCGTGTCTCGTGCCCCAGCGAGTGCCCCCCGCTTCTCCCCACGCCGCCCCCTCACTCTACCAAAGAACAACAACAACAACAACAATAGATTCAGGAGGAAAGTACCCCAAAAGACAGGAGCAAGATGACCACGGACTTTCTGTTCCCCAAAATAGCGGACTGCTCCTATGTGTCCTGTTACTGGTGAGTAGTGGAACCCCAAGCACCCCATGCCCCCGGGCAGGAGCAAAAGCAACAGCTAAAGAACAACAAGCGGCAATAACAAACACAACAAACGCGAAGGAGGGGGGTGGTGGAAACTTTTTCATTAGGCTGCTGACAATCATTCACCCTACCCTCGGCACCTGAATATTAACACAATGGGTAGCATTAAGTAGCAGGGTGATATATGGCATAGCTCCCCGGGGAGAAGTAGTTTTCCTCATCAGATCACTGGATCTAGGCGCCCAAAAGCTAACAATTGCTCCAATCTCAAGGCAGTGTTAGGAGTACTATAGATTATAGTCCTTCCTCCTCCTGCGTGAATGATTATCTCATGCTTGGCCAGTCCCGACCAGACTGCGACGGGCGTTTCGTCTTTTAATTATGTATATTTTATTTTTGTGCGTTATCTCTTTTGGCAGGAACATTCGCCACGCAGCGGAGCATGTCCTTCGGCTTGGGATGGTTTTCATTATCCCAGTGCTCCCCAGCGCTTGTTTCGTGCTCCTCGGTCGTCCATGCCCGGTCGCTTTGCATTCAAATTCGCTCATTACTCACTTGCTTCTCGGAATCCTACACCCTAGCTCCCTTCCCTAGACTCCCTCGTGGAGTCCTGTTCCGGAGAATCCTGATGCGGCGCCGTTTGGTGCTGCGCAGCTCCAGAAATTAGGTCAAACGGTCATGTCTGGCAGCAAGAACAAGAACGTGTGCTGTGTTTACGCCAGTGTGGGTCCTGCGAGTGATGGTATTGGATGGTAGGTGGTGGGGTGGAAGGACGGCTCGTTTTTATTGCCGCATGCGAGAGGCGCGTTTCGACTATAAAACAATCGGCCAACAGCAACAACCACATGGCGCCTACAAACCAAACCAAACCAAAGCGAAAAATACGAGCTATGTGGTGGGGTCTCTGTCTCTGTGTGTTGGGGCACAATATTTAAAATGCTAATTGCAAAAATGGCGGTGACGACGCCGAGGACACAAAGTTATGGCAACTTGGCAGGCAGCCCCCCAAGGAGTTGCCGCCTAAAAAACCGAGGGGAGGAGGTATCGGTGCGGGGCTGGCCATATACCGCCGTGTTTATCCCGCCGCGTGATACCAGTTTTATGTTCTCCGCCACTCCGCCGACGTCAAAGAAGCGGGAAAAGTATAAAGTAAAAAGCGACGAACATAAAAAAAGTTCTTTATTATACGCACCACCAACACACACGCATCCGGATGAAATGTCGCCGCGTCCTCTGACCTCATCCTCTGGTCTTTCCCGCCCTCCCTTCCTTGCTCCTCCTTGGCGAGTCCCGCAGGACATGTTCATTGATTAATTCGCAACTGCTCGCGCACTCCCATTTGCACTTAGATTCATGCTCGTCATCTCATCATCTCGGTGGTGTGCTCGTTCTCCTTCCAGGCGGGAATGGCTGGAAGGACCCGCTCTCTCACCATCCATCCACCACCCACTTCCGCCCACACTCCAGCTTGCTACACACTACTGTAGCGCCCTCTGTGGCTCACAGATGTGCAGTGGCTCGGTTAGCTTAGACATTGCCTCCTGGTGGCCCTAGGGCCCCTGCTCCACTTGCCACTTGCCCCACCGTGGGGCACATTAATAACAACAGCTCACGACATCGCTTCGGACCGTGCCCCGTCGCCTGGCTGTAACTGTTGATATGGCCTGTTTTCTGTTTTGGCTGTGGCACCTAGTTTAATGCCCCACTGGCATGCACCTGGGGGCCCGCCCACTTGTTTGTGGGCTCCTTCGACCGCCCTCTCATGCTAGCAACAATGTGTGGCGGCTGAATTGATTGGAATTTACTTGAAAGAGCCATAAACACTGGCCCACGATGATGGGGGAGGTAGGAGGGCAAAAGTCAAAGACCAAGGCAGCCCCAGAGCAGCCGCGTGCCGAGCAAAATCGATTATTATAATTCCGAAGAGGCGGCCTGTTGCTGATAAAGAGGTTCCGACCCAGCAGCTGGGGGGAACAAGTCACACCACCCACTTGACATTTCGTGCAGGGACTGGTGATGGAAGGGGGCCCTTTAGACTTAAGCTTGATCCTAATCTCCTACGACCCTGTGCAAAATAAAAACAAGTGTCTCGTGTTTTCCCAGCGAGGAAAATGTGTGGAAGCTCTGCGAGCAGGTGAAACGAACACGCCCGGAGGAGCTGTCCAAGTGCTACGCCGTCTTCGTCTCCAACGAGGGTCGCACCGTGCCCCTGTGGCGCCAAAAAGCAGGACGCGGCGACGATCAAGTTGTGATATGGGTGAGTTCTCTAGACGAGATCAAGCCGATGATGATTTACTAATACTATTCTTATTCCGGGATCATCCAGGACTACCACGTCTTCTTCATGCACAATCCATCGCCGAACCGATGTTTGGTCTTTGATTTGGACACCACGCTGCCGTTTCCAACATATTTCCACAAGTACGTGACCGAGACGTTCCGCTCCGATCTGGCCCTGCGACCGGAGCATCATAGGTAAGTTAACCGTCGGACTAAACCTGAATTATCGAACTTATTCGTCTTGATTTAACTCAACAGATTCTTCAGAGTCATACCCGCAGACACATATCTCATTGAATTCTCGTCGGATCGGCGTCATATGCGCCGGCCTGATGGCAGTTGGATAAAGCCGCCGCCCTCATATCCACCCATACTCTCAAACAGTAAGTGATGTTCTGCATCATCTACTATATAACTCATTTAATATATTTCACTTTGTTTATTTTGCAGCAAACTTGCACTGCCTGGGAGACTTTATCTGCATGAGCGCCGGCAAGGGCCCGGGTGCCGTGTACAGCCTCTCGGAGTTTGTGCACAACTTCTACAAGTCGCCCCACGTGATGGCCCAGAACAACAAGTAGAGAAAGGGATCAAGGATCATGGCAGCCGCACATCCACAACCAAATCCAAATCCAAATACCAGACCCTATCGTTTCGTCGTGTTGTCGTTAGCAGACAGTTAATTACCAATTGCATACATATACATACATACATATACACACACATACATATATATAGATATATATATATATATAAATATAAAATATATTTATGATAATGTATTTTTGTATTCAGGTTAACAGAAAATCAAGCAAAAGAAGTTACACGCTGGCGCAGCTCTTCGCGTACATTTGTATTGAAATTCAATTCTAAAGAAATTATAAATCTAATTATACATTTTTTTATTAAACGTATTCGATAATGAGGAAAAACCAATTAAAAGCTAAACCACATATATACATAAATACATACATATATACCGACGAAGAGATTTTTGATTCGTTAATCTCCATATACTTTTTTGTATCTTTAAAGTTAAAAACCAACTAAATGAATGGAAAGCACCAATTACGAGTAAACAGGCCAACGGGTATGATTGAAAGAAGTAAGGAAAACATATATATGCTCTCGATTCTGTAATTCAATTTTTGGCCAGGCTCAAAGCTAACCCACACCTATTTCTAAATTTAAACTTAAATCGATATCTTAATCTAACTCTAAGAACTTGACAGCTTGTTAACTTGTTTTACTGTATTTACATTAATTAATTATCTCGAACCGCAATTATTATTGTAATTCATAAAATTATCTACTTTGTATACAAAGAAAAAAACAAAAAAAACCCAAATCGAAGCTAATCGTAACGAAATCGATGATACTGATTAATGTGTATTGTACTGTATGTTTATATCTAGCTAGTTTTTGTACGGTTTGTATGCCCAAGGATCCTCAGTACTCCCCCATAGTCCCCTCCGGATTCCGAATTCCGGATTCTGGCTTCCGAATTCCCCGCTTAGCGTTGATTTCGATACATTTACCGAACCGTTTTCCCCGTTTCGATTGATAACTTGTGACGCGCAAAGACTGATTCATTATACGCTCTACGGTAGCTGCAGCACCCCGAGTCCCGAACTCCTTCTAGAATCTAGATCTTCAAGAGTCCCAGATCTGTCCTTAGAGTGACCTACCTTCCTTTGCAAGACTTTTCACCATTGTTTGTTGTCCGGCTTCCAATCTTCAAAACTCGGATTAGTTAACAAAACTCGCATTTATTTTTGATTTCGAATTTCGATTTGTATAGAGAGGTTTTTACTCAATTTGTACTGTACTGTACTGTACTGTGGGAATACTAAATACACATGAATATATAAAACATAAAACGATGATGTATAATACATAAATGCTGTGCAAAGTCTCAAAGTTAAACCTAAACTTTTAATTATACGAAACTGTAGCAACAAACACACACAAATTTTGTCAATGTTCTAACGAGTATCTGCATTAGATAGATACCTACATGTACTATGATTTTTAAGTTCCAACTTTTAATCGCTGGCTTATGAATTAATCTGATTACGTTAATCGCTGAAATGAACACCAAGCAAGCGATTGCAATAAAATGTGTAAAAATAATCTATATATATAGTCACTCACTTAGATAGTGCTTGATACTTATCGCGTTTGTAACAGCAAAAGGCGCCACTCTTTTTCTCTTCCAATTTTTCTAATTAACTCCCGATAACATGGCATATTAACAATATTGGGCATCTTGCTAAAGACACAGATATATATATACATATATATAAATATACCTAGCTCTAAGCTAATCATTAAGTTTGGCGCCGGCGGCGTCTTTTTACTCTTTTTTTATATAAGCATATATATATATATATATATATATTTAACTGAAACGAAATCTAAAAGCAACTGAGCAGAAATCGAACAATGATACCCCGGCAGCCGCAGAGGAAATACATATATACCAGGCCCCCAAAACCCCGAACCTCTTTGAATCCTCGAGGCTCAATGCTGCAAGTGGTTTCAATTCCATGGGTTGTTTCTCTGCCGCCATGCCATCCAAAAAATACAATCCTTCTCCTGTCCCTCCCCTCCCCAGCCACAAATTAGTTAAAAACTAAAAATTTACAGATTCTACGCTTTATTGGCCACTAAGCCTTTTGTTAACCACTATTTAAACTATCAATTATCCAACGTACCAACTATCTTGATCGTCATTTTTATTGTTATTGTAAAATATTTTTGCAACTCCCTAATATTTATACATAATGTGCATAAATAAGAAAGCCAGAAACTAAAGCAAGCCAACAAAATGTAATCACACTCAATTTACGGATCAATGAATTATGATTGTTCTCTCAATTCTGCAAAATGTGAAGCGATAATGGAAAATCAATATAAATACCACTTAAATTATAAAATAATGATTAATAAAATATTCTTGAAATTGCATTTTAAAAAGGATTGTTTGGTGGGAACTTTATTTTTCGAAAACATTTATCGGGGGTTTCCCTTATTTAGGTACCGGCATTCTACTTATGGTTTCCTTTTTTCCACAAGAGAATGGTCCTTATTTATGCTTCCAGTACCCTTTACTTGTCTTTAGCACCCATTCTCGACTAAGAACTATAGAACTATACCTATTTTGAAACTCAGATCCAAGCTTTTCCAGATACCAGATACATATTGGTATCTATCGAGTATATTTATCTTGTAATATATTTCAGTTATCTTAATCCAACGGATATATTGTATTACAGGGTATACATACAGTCTTCCATTATCTCAAGTATCTTCAAGTACTCAAATTTCCAGCAGTTGTAGATACGAGAATGAGAGAATGTCCAAACAATCTACAGATTAGGGAGGGAGTCAGAGCACACAGAATTTCCAAAAAATAAAATATTTTTGGATATATGAAAGGATATATATGAAAGGATGGTATGAAAGGATATATATTTATACATGTATCTTTTTTTTGTGTATTTTTAAAAGGACTTTCGTTATACCATCGTGTGGATGTGTTTAGTTATACCATCTTACACAAGAAGTGCAACTAAATTTTTTGAAATAGATCTACGTGCTATTAACTACTTAGAAGTTTTCTTAGAAGAATATAATTTAATTATTTAATTCGTAAATTAAAATTCTCTTTTTGAAAAAAATTCGTAAAAAGATTTATTTTTTAGCCAATCTACTGCGAGGTCCCCCCTAAAAGAGTGCGAGTTTCTGAGAGCGAAAGCAACCCGTCGGTTTCATTCTCATCAGCGAAAAATTGATTTCTCAGATACTGTTTGACTGCAGAGGAACGTGGATCAGCTGGCAATGGCGAAGAATCTGGAAGCGAATCTTATCGATGCGAACGGGAAGTACATTAACTTCGACGCCCACCGGGAGGAGTACACCCAGCACTACGACGCCCTGAGAAAAGAACTATATTCCCAGTGGCGAAGCAATAAGGTGCTGGACAAGATTTTAAAGGGGCACACGCTTGGAGGTACGTGGCTTTCTAAAGATGCAACACTGCGAGTGTTTGAAATACATTTTACAATACAACAAGCACAATACATTGTTATGAATCTGGGCGATAAGCGTAACACATTATCTTGACTTCCGCTACAAAAAAACATTCGGCAAAGTTGTGTTTTTCATACCCTTGGCATTTTTTGCGAAAAAGAAAAAATGCTTTAAAAAAATTAATATCAATTAATTAAGACATCCGTTGCAGGCAGCTATGGGGACAACTTGAAGGTGGCTATGCCTAACGAGTTCGACTTGGTCATTCATCTAGTGTTTCCCGAAAATGACAAGATTATCGTTAAAGCCGATCCTCGAAAACCAGGTGAGAATTAGTGGATATAGAGTAAAATCTGGAAAACAAAGTTGAACATTTTCTTTTCACTCAAGGCAACGTTACCCTGGACATGACCAAGGTGATGGAGATCATCGGGAAACAAGATCATAACAAACCAGTTTTCGAACAGCTCCAGAAAATGGTCAATAGAAACCAGTTGCTTTGCGAGGACAAGCTGCAGAGCTGGCTCCAAGGAGTAATGACTACGACCCTTAACAAGATGGACAAACAGATCAAAGTGGGCTCGGTGGTATCGCCCCTGAGTTACAAAAAGTCGGGTCCCGCCCACACCATCGACGTGAAAGGACGTTACGTGTACTCCGTCGACTTTGTGCCGGCCATTCGGCTGAAGGCAGCCCAGTGCGTTTTGGGGCCGGAGCAGAAACGCCACTTCGGAACAACACCCCATTGGGACGCCATTCCCAAGCCCATGAAGCCGGCCCAGCCGGAGAACATATCCTTCCGCGCCTCCTACTACGAGGCGGAGAAGGGTCTGCTACAAGATAAGCACAACTTGAAGAACTCCATTCGGTTGATGAAGAGGCTTCGGGACACCAAAAACAACATGGCCAACTTGAAGAGTTACTACATAAAAACCCTGTTTTTGTGGGAGGTAACAAAGCAGGATTCCAAGTACTGGCAGAAACCCATGTGCGAAATCGTCACAGAGGTGAGGCTTAAAACACTAGCAGGTTCTCTAACAGAATGCTGACCTGGCCACAACTTTCAGATGCTCGACCGACTGTCCAACACCCTCAAGCTGACCTCTTCCAAGGGCAAACTGCTTTTCTTCTGGGATCCCAAGCTGGATATGTTCGCGGAGCTCACAGACAGACAGCGGCAGGACATGTTCAACTGTGTGTCCAAGACCCAGTATTTATTTAGGCGCGGCGATGGAAACCTCACGGGGGATATAGAGAAAAATATTCTGAACTATTTTAGTATGAAATCGAAGCTTTAGTTAGTTGCGAAGATATTCAGATAATCGTTTTTAATGTAGATAATCCGGGCAGAGGAATTGAGAACATCCCAGATAATTCACAGTGCAAGGGCAATGGTACAAAGCCAAAGGATCCCACGAAACAGAATAATCCGCAGCCAGCCCAGAAGAATTCAAAGGCAGCGAAGTCTTCCCAGGAGGCCGTCAAAGATGTACAGCCAAATCAAGCAGCTCCTGGTCAACCCAAGAAGCAGGATACGAAACAACCAATCAATCCAAATCGAAAACCGAGCGAACCCCAACCACCTCCAGAAGGCAAAAAGGAGGAATCCAGTTGCAGCATTCATTAGACTAGTTTTCTGTGAGTTTAAAAGTTTCTTTTGTTAACAGCAAAACGAAAATATGTTTGATCTTAACCGTTTCGATCTTAAGCCTAATCCTCGCCTTAGATGGCCGGGTGATGTGGTGTCGTCGTGGTCGTTGTTAAGTCGCTCGTCCTGATCGTCCTGTCCTTACAAGCCGCCTCCGGAGCGGTCCACACTTATCTTCTGCTTCAGATTGGCCGCCTCGTGCTTCTGCTCCTCCAGCTCGGCCATCCGCGCGAATCGTGAGTAGGCCACGTCGCCCGTCTTGATGGCGGACATCATCTGTAATTGGTTTAAGTGTATTTATTAAATGTTTTATAACAAAGATTTCCTATTGTTTGCTAACTGTTTCTGCATGACTAACAAATATATTTTCGATTTGAGCCGGAAGTTTAGACAGAATAAGCTCTTTTATTATCAGCGATTGTGATAGCCATTTATTTATGGCTTTGGTTCTTTTTCTGAGAAAACTGAACTGAAAACCCGACCAGCGAATAATGTTTATGTTACTCACCTGGAGGTACTCGTCGAGCTCCACCTGGCCGTTCATGTTGGTGTCGATCTCTCGCAGAATATCATGCAACTGTTCGCCGGACACGTCGCCGTCGCCGAAACTCTTCAGCGCCCGCCGGATGTCGTTGATAGAGACATAGCCCTTCTTGTCCTTGTCGATCAACTGGAAGCGCTTGATGTAGGTCTGGATCTCCTCCTTGGAGAGCTTGATGGGTATGCGCTCCTTGGAGGTGCGGTTGACCGAGTGTCCCATTTCGTTGGCCAAGAACTCAGTGGCTGCCTTGATCTGGCGCTCCTTTTCGTCCTTGGACCAGTTTAGTTCCTCACCCATGATGTCCACGATGACGGGCAGCGCCTCCTGAGCAGCCTGGACGTTGAGGAAGGCCAGACGCAGACGGCGGGCAATCATGTCCACGGCGGTGCAGGCGTACTCGCGCACACCGTAACGGATCTCGGCGTCGATGTAGGGGAACTCGGGGTGGATGCGGTTGCCGATGATGGGCCAGCGCTTGCCAGTCAGGGAGGCCATCTTCGACACGGCGAAGGCTCGGTCGCCGTACGACTTGGCCAGGTGCTGGGCCACCTCACACTCTAGTCCAAAGTCCTGGACGAGACGAATGTACATGGTGGGAGTCCAGCCCTGTCCACCCTCGATCTTCAGGTAGGAGGTCACGGCCTCGGCGCGCTCCGGCTTGAGATTACAGGCTGGGAATAAGAAATTAGTTATAGGCTGTCAGGGGCATCTTAAGAATCCACGACTCACCCTTGATGGCAGCATCGATGGTGTGCTCGGCCATCGCTCGGTAGGTAGTCCACTTGCCGCCGGCAATGGTCACGAGATTGGAGGGGCTCACGTGGACAATGTGGTTGCGGGCCAGGGACTGGGTGTCGTCCTTGTTGGGGTCCGAGACCAGGGGGCGAATGCCGCTCCAGGCGGAGAGTACGTCGCCACGGCGCACCTCCACATCGGCATTGAGATAGTTCTTAATTTCGTTAAGGATGAACTGAATCTCGTCCTCGGTAGGGGTGGGTGAGTGGGTAATCTCGCAGGGCAGATCCGTGGTGCCGGCAATCGTCTGCCGCTGCCAGGGCAGGAAGAAGATGACGCGGCCGTCGGAGGTCGAGGGATCCAGCAGACCCATCTGGTCGGGGCTGTAGTAGCCTGGCAGTACGATGTGCACTCCCGAGCTAGGGCAGCAGATGCTCTTCACCGTCGGGTTGTCCATCTGGCGGATGCTATCCGTGAACGGGCCGGCGGCATTCACGATGCACTTGGCCTTCACAGTGAACTCCTTGCCGGAGATATGATCCTTGACCTTGGCGCCGCATAGCACCTGCTTGCCAGTGCCGTCATCCTTCTTGAGCAGCTCCTTCACCTCGACGTGGTTGCACACGGTAGCGCCGTGGCGAGCCGCGGTCAAAGCCACCGCCAGGCACATCCTGGCGTCGTCCTGCTGGCCGTCGTAGTACACAATGGCACCGCACAGCTTGTCTTTTTTGAGCATGGGAAACAGTTCCAGGGCATCCTTCTTTGAGAGGTAGTAGGAGCTCTTCACGTTGCGGTCACCGGCCACCAGATCGTAGCACTTGATGCCTACCCAATAGTAGGGCACTTGCCACCACCTAGGAGTCAACGATCATAGAAACTGGTTAAAAATATGGCTTATTGAAACGAGGATTAGCTCAAATTACGTGTAAACTGGCAGCATGATGGGCAGCGGGTGGGTCAGGTGGGGCGCCGACTCGAGCATGGTGGCACGCTCCTGGAGAGCCTCCTTCACCATGCGATACTGCTCAAAGTCTAGCTGATGGATGATACATGATAATTAGCTATCTACTGAACCTCTAGCTGAAGGTTATGGTTAAGGAGACTTACGCCAAGAATGGCCTTCTGCAGGTAGCGGACTCCGCCATGGATGAGCTTGGTGGACCGGGAGGACGTGCCGCTGGCAAAGTCGTCCAGCTCCACCAGTGCGGTCTTGAGGCCTGTTTGGATGAAATTTTAAAGGTTTATTCAGAACGGGGTGTAAGGCACTAGTAGACTCACCTCTGGTGACCGAATCGAGAGCACATCCTGCTCCGGTGGCTCCTCCGCCGATGATCAGCACATCGAACTCCTCGCCACTCATCAGGGACTTAATCTGATCGGCCCTGGGGGGCAAGGTGCGCTTCCTCTTGGGTGGTCGCTGCACAGCATTGTTTACCTTTAAAAAAGAATAACCAGGTGAGAACCGAACAAGAGTAGCTTAGATGTTTAGAATACCCACCACATGGGGCGAGTTCCACCGGTCCAAGGTATAGGATGCCAGGACAGAACCCACACAGGCGCTGGCGGCTGTGACGCCAAACTTGAACATTCGCGAGGTCATCTCGGGGATTGAACTCTCACGAAACTATCGAAATAATCGAGTATTTGTTAAAGCTGAAAGGGTATTCAAAAAATTCGATTAAATTTGGCGGCAAATGTTTATTCCCAGTATGCTGGGCGTTATATTTTAAAACCAAGTTTTAAATTTCCAATTTTATTGGCTTGTTCCAACACATAACATTAACATCAAAAGTTGGCTTTTACCAACAAACATTTAATTTAGAAAAATGTAGAAAAATATTTTAGGTTTTTGAACCTAATTATAAAGCTAACACGATCTAAATATGAATCTAAATCTTGTTTTCTTTGCACTTTTTTTCGAGTCCTTGGAATTTAATCCTTTTATTGGGGATTATTTTTTTTAAGTTTTTTAGTTAGTAGGTCACTTTTATTAAAACACTTTGTAGTTACATTCTGGGACACTCCCCAACGGGAAGCTGAACTAAACTGGTTTTACATGTGGTATGTCGGTATATGATTTGTCATTTGATGATATCACAAACCGAATAAAATAGCGAATAAAACAAAATTAGTGTGGTATCCGATGCGATTTTTGAGAGAATTTATTGTATTCCAAATATGTTGGGGGCCTCTCCCTCGGTCGGTCGGTCAGCCTCAGCTGTTCGAACTTCAAAGCTTTGGAAAAAAGCTTTTTGCAAAACTGTTGGCTCTCCTCTCGTTGGAAGTGTGTTCTATTCCCATTCAACCCGTCGGGTATCGCAGTTTCCAAAGTATCTCAATCTGTGCGTTAAATCAATACTTGATATGGGATTGCTTTTCCTCTAAGCCAAAGGCCAAACGGTGAAGTTGAAGTTTGGTTCGAGGGATGACCTTCCGGCGATGTCGTAAACTACTTTGGCGGTGTGTGTTTACCTTTTGGCTTCCAGGCCGCGAGAGTTTTGGCAACAGACTGAAGCCAAAGCCGAAACCCAAACCGAATCCGAATCCGTATCCGAAACAGAAGCAGAACCCGAGAAACTCACGAAATTCCGACGACCGAGAATGCGAACGGAACGTTCTTGGCGGACGTAAAATAGCATGTGAAAATGATTACATCAGAGTTTGAGTCACTTTTCCGCGACCGTTGCTTGCTGTTCCGTACTGGGCCAAGGCGTATCGGTTATTGAGCTCACCTAATGACTAGCGGTTGCTCTGGACGTGCCTGGTAGTCCGATATTCCTGGAACTGGGAATTTGGGGGGAACTGGAAGCGATTCTCTGCCTTGTCACCTGCCGGTTCGTCGTCCGCTTGATTTGCCAGTCGCCGTCGCTCTGCCGCCGATTAAAAGTGCACCTTTGCAGCTTTTCCGCTCGGCAAAACTTTCTCGGTGCACAGCAGTGGTGCAGCTCGGGGCTCGTTCTCGTCAAAATCAGCTGTTGGGACCCGCCCTCAGCCTCAGCCCCAACCCCAGCACCAGCCCCAGCACCAGCTCGCCAGCTAATTAGCTAATTTCCCACTTTTCGCTCTAAGCTACGAGGTATTCAACAGATACGTTTAACAGTCGGGGATTCGCGGGAGATATAAAAAAGTTTAGGGATTTGTTTCACGTATCCTTTTGTAGTTATTAATCCTGTTCCACTTAGTATTATTATTTTTAGTATTTAATTTTTTTGGATTAACTTGACCGGTCTAGAGAATTTTTCGCGCGTTTCGGCCAACCCACCTATAGATATATCTGTATCTGCATGTAGAAACCGCTCCCGTTTTTTTTTTTTGGCACCTGCGAGATGCGCGCCCACGTTGTGTGCGGTACGTATTTATTCTGTAACTGGCGGCAAGCGGGCCGAGTATATGATATTTTTATTATTCGGCGCTCTTCGCCCGCCAGATTATTCAATTATGTGTGTGCTGATATAGCAGCGGAACGACGGGGAGCAACCCTCGCCACCACAAGGCTAATGCTCTTCCGTGAATTTCCACGCAATCACCTATTGGACTCGATCCATTAGCGATTTGCAGATAAGGGCGCTGATTTCACAAGTGGTTTACGCATTTCGACGGACCCGGTTCGCGTTTATGAATGAATCACTACGACAAAGGTCCAAGAAAGTCCAAGTAAGTGTCTTCCACCCGCTGCCCCGATCAGACGACGACCCCGCCGGCAAGACGAGACAGCTCCCAGACGGAGACCAATTAAGTACGGGCGTACAGATACCATATACGTCATCGCACACGAGATCTGGTAGGTTAGGTAGGTCAGTTTTCACTTGCGCAATTTTGGGGCAGAACTTTCCACCGGCAGCCGGCTATCGGCTATTTTTAAGCCGCAGCGGAACAGACCTACAAACGACCTTGGCATTCTCGAAATGTGGTGTCTGGGCTAATTGTGCCGAAAGCGCAGTTATCACGCCGTCTGTAACTGATACAAGTGTATCCAAGGGATTGTCCGGCGGCGGCGGTAGAAGCACGCAACTACGGCGTGCAGAGTGCTCCGCCCACGCCGGAATGCCATTTGCTCAAGTGTTCGAAAGACGTCGTCGGAGATGGGGACGAAGAAGCGAAGAAACAAGCTACATAATGGTATGTGTGCCTCGATAGCTCGTCTAATGTATACACGGATCTCTATCTGCCGACGTTACTATTTTCTAGCACGTGAACATTATCAGCGGACTCTCCGCCGCCTGGCGGGAGGAGGTTTGACTTTGTCGCGACCAGATAGGGTTGGAGGGAGGTGCCTATGTACATTATGTGTGTAGCCAGCGGCATGCCCTCCAATGAAGGTGGAACAGCTTGACCCCCAAATGTACACGTATAAATAGAATTCATGTTGGGCAGGTGAACTATGCAATACCCTATGCCCGTTGGCGAATTTTACTCAATGAGTTCATTCTGAATTATACCATGAGATTCAAGTAGAATATATCAAAAGACTGTCTTTATTAATCATCTTTTTACCCCTTATATTAATAAATTGGGCTTCAATTTTTGTGCAACAATTTTTTTCGTGGTCTAAATGCCATTTATTGCACTTCCTCAAATCAAACCCATATTGCATATTGATTTTTGTAATTTTAAAATATATACTTTTTTGAATCTTTAAAAAATGGGTCGTAATAGTGACTTGATATTTAAAACTTTAAATTTTAAATATCTTTGTCGTAACGGCTAATTGTATATTTAAATTGTTATCGTTGATACTTTATGCTTAGTTCCATCTCTATTTTTAGAGAAGACAAAAATACCATACCATTCAAATGTAACCGATAACTTATCCTACCATCTTTACTTTTAGAGAAGGTAAAAAAACCATAAAATATCGAAATAAATAGTTCACGATAGATTATCACTTTTAAGAGCGCCATTCAAATAAAAAATTTGAATTTATTTTACAACAAATTACAACATAATTTTGTTTTTACATTTTTATAGATTGGAGAGGGTACCCGGCCCTGCTTTAAATTATGGCCCGCTATTTTCATAAAAGCAACAAGATAAAAACAGGGACTTTTCGACAATTGTGTGCAATTTATGTAGATTCAAAAAACATAATTTTGAATAGCGGAACTCGAACCCTTACAGATAACTAATTTCCTTCCTCACTTTCTTAATGTTATCCTTGGAGCGGGAAGGACTTTGAGTCCAATACAATACGCACCGGAAGCTAGATCTACTTCTCTAGAAATAATAGATATACATTTACTCCGATTTTAAGCAGAAGGTGATCCTCGGCTTATTCCCAACGCTGACCCTTGCTGGAACATGTGCATGATGGAGCCCGATCCCTTCCGAGCCCATTTTTTACAAAAATGAACAATGCTCAGTTGAAATTTACAAATAAAAAAAAAAAAATAATAATTTATAATTTTATTTTTTTTTTAATTTTTATAATTCGCAACCGGTTTTAGCCATGGGAAGTATAAATAAAAATCTGGGGCTCCGAAATTTAAAAATTTTCAAAACTCAACCAATGTGGAGTAGATTGATTTCCACTTACTTCACGGAATTATAAGGTAATCTTGCATAGTAAATAAAATAAACCATTAAATTTTTATAAATTTATTTAAATTATTTAAAAATGGTACCGAAAAGTGGTAATCCAACGGGGATGAAAAATAAATTGTCTTAAATATTTAAAACTTAGATTAAATAACTTTCAACTTAAAAACAATATATGTATGTATCATCGATGGCCAGTAAAATGTCATTCCGGGGGCAGTTCCAGATTACAGGTTGGACGAAGAGTCAGCCGCGGTTTCGGCCACGTTGTCGATGGTTCCAAGTACGGAGGCGATGCCGCCGGGCTTGGGTATAGGTTGTGAGGCGGTGTTCCGGTCGCGGCGTGTGCGCATCAGGAGATCGATGAGGTCGAGCAGCTGGTCATCCCCGGGACTGCACGCAATCAGAAGCTGTTGGAAGAAGGCCATTCTCTCAGCCCCGGAGCGCGGCCCGCCGCTGTTGAGGATCTCGGGCACCTGTGCCAGTAGCCCGTTGCGGCAGCTGTTGCTGATCTTCGACTTGGCACAGACATACTCCAGGACGGAGTTGGGATTCAGCCGGTCGCAAACCACCGAGGAAAGGTTCTCGCGAACCGCATGGTCCAGAAAGTCCTTTGAGTGATTCTCAGACAGCGTCTCTAGAACATTGGTCTTAAGCTTGTCGTTGGTACTCATTTGGCCAGACAGGAACTTGGCCAAGGTCCCGGCACTTTTCAGTTGGCCCTTGTCAAAGTAGCGCTGCAGAACAGTCTCCAGAGGCTGTTGTTCCACCACCAGATCCAGAGCAGCGTCCGCATCCAAAACGGCCAGATCCTGAACAGCTGGTTCCACTGCCATTTCCACCTCGTGAATCTTTACAGTTCCATCGAGATTAGCTCCTGCAGTTGTTTCGTTCCACTTCAAGCTGGTAAAGGCGTCCTCGTCAGCAGGGGCATCACCCGACTTGTCCAAAGATTTGTCTGCCGTGGCCGTCCTGGCCGTCTGTTCGCTGGCAAAGCGCTCTATCTCGATGATGCTGTCCAGGCGTCCCCGCCGCCTCAGAGCCTGCCGCATTTCAGATGTCTGGGCCACCTTGTCCATCAACAGGCAGCGCTTGGTCTTGAGACCACTGCTACTCGTACTGCCACTGCGCGTCTCCTCCACATCCCTCAGGTACTCCTTGGTTACGGACACGGGTGGATCGTGGAAGCTAACTCGTTTGCGCTTGAGCGCCGGCGAATCCAAGGTGACATCGTCAAGGCTTTCGCAGCGCAGTTTTCGCTTCAGGATGCTCACCGAGGGGCTAGCCGAGGGCGATGGAAGTCGCTTGGAGAACACCAGAAGATCCTTGGAGGGCGGTGCTTGAATCGGCGTTGATGTGTGCTCCGTGCCCGTTAACTCGTTCAGCTCACTGGTGGGCGTAGACACCTGTTCGGCGCGGTCTAGGATGCGAGCGGGGGTCGCCTGGTGGATGGAGGAGCGGGATGCACTGCTCGGTAAAGAGGCGTATGGGGAGCCCGAGGTACCGTCCAGTTTCTTGTTGCGTATCATGTTAATCAGCTGTGCTCCACGTCCCGTCAAGTGGCCAGTGGGCTTTGGTCGAATGGTGGGACTGGAGGAGTTATTGGTCTGCTTACGGTCAGGTGGAGAATTCTTCAGAAAGAAAGAAAGGTAAGTTTTGATAGATCAGTATGTGTATATCAGAAGATTCCTTACCAAGTTGCACAAACGGGTGCTGGGCTTTTTGGGTGAGGTTTCAGCTGGAGGCTGGACAGGAGCAAGGGCTTCAGTAATGCTGGCTGCCATTTGGGTGGATGGTGCTATGTCCACAACTGGTAAATCCGGAGGCGTTAGCTGGATTTCGACTGGTTTCTTGCTTTCCTCAGTTGGCTCAAGAACAGGCGAGTCTTCTGGGAAAAGGTCCTCGCTTTGATGCACAACGGGGGTTGATTTCGGGGTCTTTGTCTGCTTGCCGGCAGCTGCAAAAGGGTATGAGGTGTGAGTTTTGGCAAAACACCTGTTACTTTTCTGCTTACCTGCTGTTGTAGGTTGTGGCGTCGATTGCGGCGGTGGCATCTTCCTCGGAGATCTCAGCTGACGCGGTTCTGATTCTTTCTGGGCGGCTTGCTCCACTTCCTTCTGGGCTGCCCTTTTGCGCGTCTGACGAACGGGCGTCTCTTCAGCTTTGGTAGTAGCCTCCCCTTCCGCTTGCGCCCGGGTCTTGCGACCAGAACTCTTTCTACTGGGAGTTGCAGTAGCCGGCGGAGGCGGAGTCGGATCCTTTTCCGATTCGCCACTCTCGACCTTTTCTTCGCTGTCATCTTTGCCGGTTAGCGCCAGTTCGCCCTGCTTGCTCTTGGCAATAACCACCTTTTTGGGCGTCCAAGGCTTGAGGGATGCCGAATCCTGCGACTGGCTCATGTCGTTGTACAGAGCGGGTATATCCGACTTTTCGGCGAAGCGCTCCTTTTGCCGATCGGTTAGCTTTTCTGGGTTCAGGCTCCACACGGAGGGAATGATCACAAACAGATCGTCGCCCTTGAAGAGATCCTTCAGCTGGTTGGCCATGCTCTTCATCGGAAGCTTCCTAAACTTCTCTTGAATGGCCCGCTTCCAGTCGTCCAGAAAACTGCCTTCGCATTTTAGCTTCGTCCAGCATTGGATACCACCCGATAGAGTGGGCTTTAGGCTGTCGAAGACCACCATCAGTTCGTTCTGGCGCAGCTCGAGCACCAAGTTGCGGAGAGTATTCAAGCAGCCCTCAAGCATCTGCTGGTTGGAGGAGTGCTGGAAAACGGTCTGAAGCAGCCCGAAAATATCCTTGTACAAGGGGGGTGCCTCCTTGCAGAGGCCCATCTTTATGGCATTGGCCACGTATGCGTCAAACAGTTCCGCGAAAAGCGGTTCGTCCTTGCTCTTGAGAAGTTCCTCCAAAGAGCCCTTGAGATCGGCCAAGAATTTTCTTCGCTCGGGAGCATTCTGTCCGGCGTTCAGAAGTTGCTTCCACTGCTCGCAGAAGACAGAATCGAATGCGTTGCTCGAGCGTCTTCCGGCGAAGGCGGCGAGAGTTTGGAGCGGCCACAGCAGCCAGGAGTCCAGCAGCGTAGCGTTGTGGGGCAAGCGATACTCGAGCCCGTTTCCCCGCAAATAGTTGCCCAGGGCTTGGGAAACTTGACGCCACACCAGCAGCTTCACGGCAAAGCCTTCAAAGTCCTCTTCGTCGTTGGCCTGCATCAGATGTTCCGCGAACGATCCCAGCAAGCGAAACTCGTTTTGGTTTGCAGCTTCCAGGGCGAAGATGCTGGCGGTGCTCCTCTGCAATATAGCTGCCGGAACTTCCGTTTTTGCCTTGAGTATCAGCTTGAGGTAGGCCTCCAAGACATCAATCAGGTCACTGGCAGAAACGCGCTCCATCGCCAAGTTCTCGGTGGCTATGGTGTTGAAGAGGGCCCGTGCCACTCGGCCTCCGGAAGCATCTGGCGAGAGCAGTATCTTCTCAATCTCCCCACAGCAGGCCACAGTAAAGGGCGCGACAGCAAGTCGGAACATGGCCAGGCAAAGGTTGCGCACCAGCAACTGGAGAAGCAGCTGCTCCGCCTCGGTGGCATCGTGCTGGGTAAGCAGTTTCATTCCGGCAACCGCAGCAGCCAAAAGAGGCCGCCAATGCTGTTGGAGGACGTCGGTGGTCATAAGAGGCGATGGTTTAGGCAGGGACTCCAGACGGAGCTCTTTAAGAAGCCGCTGCAACGGTTCACTGGGTTCTACGTCCCATAAGGCCACCAAGCAGGGCAGGGCCAGTTCCCGCGCAGTCTGATAGCTATGGGCTAGCCCGGTGGGCAGGTTCTTATGTCCGCCTCCGAAAACGAAGGTCAGAAAGTGTTCCACGGCACTTTCAAAGGATTTGGGCAGTTCCGCATCCAGGCAGGTGATCAAGTACCACCACACGCGCAGCTTGATGCCACTGACGTGCGAAGAGCGTGATTGTGAGGTGCGTAAGGGTATCAAGAGCAGCCGGAGTCTCTTGCCTGATGCCAACTCATCGTATGCGGCAAAGATTTTAATGAGCACCCGCCAGCAAAGGAAGGCCTCTGAACGGACGCCGTTGTCGGGGTTGCGGAAGCCCATCTCCACCACAGCCAGGAATTTGTTGATGTAGACACAGCCCCGCAGCAGCTCTTCGTCCATAATTTGAACCAGCAATGTCCAAATCTTGTGCCAGTTTGAGTTCTTGGCGTCGCGCATCTGTCCTATGGAGACGGTGTACTTGTTGACGAACTCTCCCCGGATTTCGGGCCAGCACTTGGCCGTGTGAATGGCGGACACGTCAAGGGCCACCAAAGCCTCCGCCAGAGCTGCCACGGCGCAGTCCTGGATCTTTTTATCGGCATCAAACATCAGTGGCAGGATGTCTCCCAGCCAGAACTCCACCAACTCGTCCTCCGTGAAAGAGGTGCCTATCAGGCCGGAGCTCTTGCAGCTGCTAGCCAGTAGGTCAATCATCTAAAAAGGGGAGGGGGGAGTAAAATGGGTGCACTTACTGCTCGTTGGCCTACTTACGTTGCAATAGTGCTGACGGCGACCCGCGGATAAAACTTCTTTGGCGGAGAGCTGCACCGTGTGATAGGAGCGCCCCGCCTCCGCCCCGAAATCGACGTCCATTTGTTAATTGTTTTCTTTTGATTATACTGTGTCTGAATATTTACGAATTCCTTCGCGTGCGATTGACCAACTACTTTTTAACCGCCGAAAAAATAATGTTGAGGAAAAAAGCGCGCGAATCGTCGCATTTAGTGTTGAAAAATCGACAAATCTATCGTTTATGATATATCGATTAATTCTTAGAGATGCCAGACTGTTGAAATCTCGTTGGCGGCCAAATTTTTAGCCAGTCGGGCATCACTACTACGAACGATGATTGGCAGCACTTGTTGGCTTCACCGTAGAGTTTTTCAACACTAAAACAATTCGTAATTTAAATTTGAATTCAAAATTTGAAACTATGAGAAAACCATATTTCCAAATTAGGTTCTAAAAATAAATAATTTGTATAAAATATGTTGTTGGGTAATACCCAAAAGATTTCCTTTGTATGAATAGGTAATGCGAATAGTAACAAATATGTTCGTTAAATTTTTAAATATTTTAAAATGCTTACAAAAATATTTAATTTTTTCAAGTACTTCCTGATGTACGGCTTCAAGTTTTGCATTAGTTTATAAATTCCTAAGCCTTTTTATTAAGGACGAAGGACTAACTATGGATCCATTTGTGCACTTCCTGGAAGAGGAACACACGCAATCCCAAGGCGAGAAACAAAAATAGTAGACAGGAGTAGGCCAGGGATAGGGCTGAAAGGAGTTGCAAGGAATTATGAAAAGGTTACAACCGTACTAGACTTCTATCAGCTATTTCAATGGCTAGTCTGGCGTCACCGTTTGCGTGGGAAAGGCAAACTGGTTTGCCAAGACTGGAAATACAATAAATTATGTGTGGTCACAAAGGACTGCAAGCAGGCAGGACAATGGAGAACAATTATAGATTGTGTAGCGAAACCTTTGAGTTAACGAAGAATCGAAGAGAAAACTGCACGAGTTCGCAGTAAGGGGTGCGGTGCGGTGCCTGTGCCAAAGGATTGGGCATTATGCTGGCTGTTGGGTAATTCACGGTCACTCAGGTTGCAACTGACCAGGACGAAGCCAGCAGCTGCCATGAGGGCCCAGCACGATGCCCAGCGCAGTACGCCTTTTAGTTGCACGTGGTCTGTGTTTTCGAAAATATTAAGCGAATTTTAAAATCCTTTTCAAATCGGTAATCAAATAAAGATTGTAAATGGAAGAAGTCAAGAACGAGGTGCGAAATGAAGTCCTTTGAACTCGGTTTGAATGGTTGGAAAAAGGAAAAAACTGCCCCATATATCCCCACACAGTACCACACTGCTCCTTGTAGGGAAAGACAGCTGCCAGGAAGTCAAATGACAAATTAACTGAAGGCTGAGTTCAAATCGCGGCTCTAAATAGGTCCTTGCACGTTGGCGTTTTGTTTTCGAGGTAGTTGCTAGTTTTTTAAATGAATTTCCCCTCTTTTAAGTGTGAAAGGGGAGCCCTTAAGAAATCTACAATGTAAGAGGTCCTGAAGATTTTGCCGGGAGAGGCTTCGAGTGCGTGTAGATTGTCCTTTTTTTTCAGGGAATTACGTTGTCAGCGGCACAGCAACACTTGGGCCTCAGGCATCGGACATGCGATGGGACACGACATATGTTGTATACGCGTAGTATCCCCGCGACTGTAGTTGGGTTTAGTAGGCTCACTTCCCACTCACTTTAATTTTGCGTTACAATTTTAAGCTTCGCCTTCGTGTTTTTGTTTGCCGGACATTCTTTGCTATTGACATCCACCATCTTATCCTCCAGCAGATCGTCGCTAGGATACCCTTTATGCTCCTTTGGAGACGGCCTCCCGTTATTTGATGCCTTGTTAACTTTCATCTGCGGTACCGGCACGAATGGATGTGGCGGTGATGGGCCAAGAATTCGACTTGTTTTAGCTTATTTTTCGATGAATGGAATGGCCTTTCTCGTTCGGGCGAGGGCGGACTTTGGTGCTACTCGTTTTTCCATTTAATGAAAAGAGAAGTACGCCTTCGTTTTACAATTTTTCTTCTTCATGTAAGTTTTTTGTAAGCTTGTTGGGTGCTATTTTTTGTCGGTTGCCATTTGGATGGGGAAGGTCCAGGCAAGGTATTTGCTTTCATGTAGCATGGAGTTTATTAGCTTTAAGATGGCATGGCACTAGGTGGGGATGGCCTGGGTGGGGGGAGCTCTTGGGCACTTTTTTAGGAGCTTTGGGTTTCCTGGGCAGCCAGGTTTCTTTGATAATAAAGCAATTATTGGGAAGACAACTTCAGCCAGGATAAAATTAAAGTTTAAAATGCCAGCGAAAGAATCAAATACCAAACTTCAGTACACCGATTTTAATATATATTTTCATCGAACCGTGTTGGACAGTTCGGAAGGGGTAAGGGCGTGCGTCGACATTGTGATTGGATGAAAAACAAAGAGTTAAAGAACAACCCCTGCGATGGCCGCCGGGTGGCAGAAGGGGAATAAGTGGATTTATGTTTTCAAACAGCTCTGCAAGCTCAACAGGAGTTTTATTATATTTTTACAGAAAAGCTTAACTGCCAAAGTCCCCCGCTGTTTTTCTAAATACTTCATTTATGAAATGTTTTCGTTTGCGGTTTTAAAGTGATTTTTAATGAACCTCAGATTTTATTTCACAACTATTAGTTCCAATCAAATTAATCCAAGGAATATGTTTTTTTATTATGTACATTTTAAGACTTCAAGTATAAAGGTTAAATCTGCAAAAACCCGGTAGGCCAGCAAAGGCGTGCCAGTGTCGCAGATCATAAAAAACAATAACTAGGCGGTGTGTGTGTGTGGGGGCTGGAATAAAAAATTTATGCGCTAGTTTGGTTGGCTGACAGGCGACAGGACATAGACACATGTCCTTTATAATATCTGACAGTGGCAAACAGTTTGGGCGCAAAAAGACTCTGCATTTTATGCCTAGCTTAAGTTGCCCAACAAATTTCCATGAGACCACCAACATTCGCTCTCTCTTCGAAACTCGTCCAAGAACATTCAAAATTATTGGCAAGATTTGTTGTTTGGGGTTTACCACGTCTTATATATGTGTACCTTTTGTACACGAATTGGATGAGAAAGCTTTAGAGAAAAGTCCCATAATGGCCGCTTCCCTGAGTTTACTTTTATGGCCAAGGATAACAAATACACTCAAATAGTATCAAATCCCGGTATGAATTTTGGGCTGGACTTGCGGCATTCTTTGGGTGTCCATTTTACTTCTTAGAGGAGAATGGACAATCCGCTTAACCCTTGGTTAGTCGCTTTCCCGGAATCCAGGAATGCTTTAACAGGTCCGGTTTCAAAGGGCGATATGCCGCAACGTTGGTCCTTTGTTTTAATTTAAATCACCTGCAGTGGGTTGGCAAATTAGGTAAGCTGTTTGCAAACTGTGCGATACACCGAGGTACTTTAAAGCAGTGAAAGCAGTAATCTGAGAGGATTATCGTTATTTTTGGAGTGGGCCGCTCGTCAAGGCGTGTGTTATTAGCCGCCTAGTAGGCCTCGTAAGGTTTCGTTTGCATATCGATACGATTTGAGATACATTTGAGATTGTAAGATCTATCTGCATTTCACAGAAAACGCTAAAGTCTAATAGCAGCTCCTCTCAAAACAACTTAGTTAGCTAAACAAAAGCAGATATACTAAACCGAATAAAGGAGCCGGTAGGAACAATCGTAAATTGATGATTGCGAATGCCAATAAATCAATACACCTTAAAGAAAGGATGAAAAGGCTGCACAGTTCAAAGAGCTGTCGCAATGAGGCATTGAAAATTGAAAAAAACTATAAATCTTGGCAAGGTGTCGGCCATGCAACGCATTTCAGATTGGAGCACCATTACAGGGCATACATAGGAAAGGATTTTGACCTGATTTCATGGGTAACTGGTTCTATTTGAAAACAAAAACGATCAGGTACACCATCTGTGAGAATGTGTGAAGGGGGTCCTGAGGATATATATCATACATTCTACAAGGAATTCATGAAATAATGAAGGAAAAGGTCAATTTGTTGAAGAACTTTTAAGAAAGGACTGTAAAGGGTAAAATGTAGTTCCGTTTAGTGATCCTGAGTAAGTCTCCTCTGATTTCGTAATTATGTAGCACGCTTTCAACCGCAAAATAATAGGCAAGGGATTTTGCAGTATTTTTCTAGGAATTATTTTGAGAAGCAACCGCCAGTAGACACTGAGACTTTCACATTCATTATTTGCAAAAATACCATCTTGAATAATCCTGCTCTGCATACGCAACCTAAGCCGCACATCTGTCGTCTTGGATTGAACAACAATTCCTTCGCATTCTTCCACAATTTCATTGCAATCATAGGTCTGGTATTGTCCTGATCTCAAGGTGTGCCTAAGAGATTATGCATATTGGCGTGCGCTCCTTTGCGCCTCTGGGCATCTGTTTGCGCAAACTGGAATCTGTAAAAGGATACTCTTTGTGTACCCAACATATTTGAGTACTGATGATAGACCATGGTCTTCTAGTCAAGTGCCTGACGCACTTACATGCACTCCCAGGAATATCTTGATTAAAAAACAAACCATCTTTGGATATGCGAGTGCACACATTCATGCGATAAACCTTTGCGATGTTAGGAATTGAAAAACCTTTCACCTCATGGCCAAGAACCGCTTCTGGAGGATTGAAAGCGCCAATGGTCATGGGCGATTGAGGAATACACATTAATAGCACGCCAAGGCACAGCCACGGCTGTTAAATGCCTTCGCGTGACGAACGCAAGTTGTCAGCACCAGCTTAGTTTTGATGTCCTGCCCCTTCTGTGGATTTGAACGGAACCAATACATTTGGTAGCCCCAAATCGTATGAACTTGCTATAAATCAAACGTAAATGTTAGCTTGATGATTTCGCGTTATAAACAGTGAACTTTTTTGGTAGGTAAAAAGTTCTCTTTTGTTTATGGAGTGTCGAAAGTTAATAGTGTCCAGCCCCATATGCGTTAACAGTTTCCGGCTCCCCTGCCCCTGCCACTGCCCCCGTCCTTGCCCACATTAAAACTACAAAAACAACAAAATAACCAAAACATGTCTAGTACTTTTGGGCCATTAATCAAACTATCTCTCGGGAACATCACACGAAATAAGAGCCTGTTGGAGAGCGGGAGAAACAG